AAAGGCTTTTCATTTTACCACAATATTTACTCCAAGATTTGCCAACTACTTCCAATGTGTTGCAGAATTTCTCACTTTCAATACAATTGACTTTTTGGGGTTATGATGAATTGAACATTGTCCCCTAACATCCACATGTCAAAATCCTAATCTCCAGTACCTCAAGTTGTGCATGTATTTGGGGAAAGTTTCTTTAAGGAGGTAATTAAGTTAAAATGAGAGAATGAGGGAGGACCCTAATCCAATATGACTGGTGTCCTTATAAGAAGAAGATATGAAGATAAGACACACAGAGGGGAGACTCCGTGACCACACAGGGAGAAGATGGCCCTGACAGTGAGAAAGCCCTCAGAAAAATCAATCCCACCACCAATTTGGTGTTGGACTTCAAGCCTCCACAGTTATGAGAAAATAATTGAGGAGCCACCTTGTTTAAGCCATCTAGTCTGTGGCACTCAGTAATGGCGGCCCTAACAAACCAAGCGTAGGCTGGTGCCGATTTTCAAGCAATACCCCCCAACCCAGTGCCTTGCATGCTGACATTGAACTAAGTAAAGGAGACTGGAAGGCTCAGAAACAGGTTCAGAAATGAAGCCTCTGACCCGCTCCTGCTCCCGTTTCCCACTTTTTCCCCCTCCCCCAAAGCAAGTGATAGAAACCAGAATTTTTCCTCCTCAAAGTTGGTCAAAGAAACTAGAACCCCTTTCCCCCAAAGCCACCTTATCACTCTAAGCATCCCCTGACTTTCTGTGTAGGAGTTGGCCCTAAGGAAATCCTCTGACGCACCTTGTCTGACAGAAGATCATAAGCCCCTTGTTCCAGAGTCATCCTGCCATAGCCAGGAGGCAGGAACTCTACCCAGAGAGGTCAGGGACAGTCTGAGCAGACCCCTGGCTAGCTTTTCCTGCCTCAGTCTATTTCCATGAGTTCATACTTTTCACCCAATTGCATTTCTAGAGAGCTGTCCATTTTTCATGGAATCTAAGCATAAAATTAATCCCCCCCCCACCCCGCAGGGAATCTGGGCTTCATTTCTGAGGCTCCTGTTGTGTCATTTTGATTAAATCAAATTGTTGTGCTTTTGTCTTGTTAACCTGTCTTTTCTTGTAGGGGTGTTGGCTTTGACCCTTACATGGGAATGGAAAGGTATCACACCTTTACTGCCCCTACACTGGATGATTCTGTCATTCGGCTGTCCTGTATGCTGTGGCACTTTTAGCAGCATCCCTCCCTCTACCCACTAGACACCAGTAGCAGATGACCTACCCAGTCAAGATGACCACAGATATCCCCAGACTACACCTGGGATGTCCCCTGAGAGTGGGAAATTTCTCCCAGTTGAGAACCAGTTTTAAGGTCACTGAAACAAGACTACTTCTTTTCATCTCTGCTTTCTATTTACTTGCCCATGTTCTGATTTCTCACTCAGCTGGAACTTTTCTTAACTTACATGATGAAGTTTGCTCCATGTCTCCTCCCTTCCCTTTTCAAAACACCTGCTACTTTCCTGATACTCTGGGTCAACCCATTTACAGTCCCCCTGTTCCAAAGTCAGAGAGAGAAAGGGAAGACAGATTCCTTTCTTCTTGTTTCCACACAGAAATCTGGGTCCTCAAACCCAGGCAAAGCCGAAGAATTGTAAAGCAAAGCAGGGATTACTTTCTGGGACTCCGTCCTTATCTTTCTCTGTGTCCATGCTGTGTAGACTACACCTGGGCTTTACTCAGAGGAAGCTGAAGCTCAGAGAAAACAAGTAACATGTCCAAGGCCACACAGCTGGGGAGTGCTGGAAAATGGTTCTAGACACCAGTTCCTGTGACTTCTAATCTGGTATTCTTCCCCACCTCATGATGGGTCTCCTCCCCTTTCTTTGTGGGAGGAACCAAAGCCCTATTTGGTCCATCAAATAGGACTGACTAAACGCAGCTGAGAACCCTCATCTGGCCTTGTGAAGAGAGGCAGACTAGCCATGGGTGATTCCAGTTAATGGTTAATCAAGACCCAGATGCGGTCATCATCCTAACGCGGCCCCTGGGAGACAACCAACATGAACATGCATAGAGAGAATAATTTTAGAAGGCAGGTGCCAACCAGATAAGCACCAGACAAGGAGTTCACAAAACCCGGTCTCCATGCCCACTGACTGTGTGGCCAAGGCCAAGTCACCTGACAGGCCTCAGGTCACCATCTGCCCATATCATAGAGTTGTTGGTATAATTAAATAAGACAAAATACTTGCAATGTGCCTTAAGAACAAACCTTGGACATGACTTCAAATGCAAATGATCATACAAAGGAGGGAATCCATGAAAGTATATCAGGAGCTGACCTCACCCAAATATACCAGAGAAGCTCATTAGTTATGGGGTGGGACAGGGGTACATTAACTATGGTGTGAGCAGGACACAGGGGACATCACAACTCACTAATACATGACTGGATACCTGGACATGAAATCAGGCTACATGCCTGCTATAGTCTGCTTGAACTGTCCCCCCAAATTCATATGTTGGAACCTAATACCCAATGTGATAGACTTTATAAGAGGTTGGGCCTTTGGGGAAGTGGTTAATTAATGAGAGTTCTCATGAATGGAATTTGTGTCCCTTATAAAAGAAGTTCGAGGGAGCTCACTACCCACCCTATATGTGAGGATATAGCCCAAAGGTGCCATCCCTGGGCCCTCCTCCCCAGATGCTGAATCAGCCAGAATTAGATTTTGGATTCCCCAGCCTCAAGAAATGAAAGCAATAAATTCCTGTTGTTCATAAATTACCCAGTCTAAGGTATTTTGTTATAGCAACAGGAAGCTACAAAGACAATGCTGTATCTGATAATTCTTATACTAACTCGAATCTCCCAGCTACCATCGTTCTTCACATTTTGCAGACAAGGAGGCCAAGGCTCACAGTGTTAAACAATGTGGTGAAGGCATTGCCCTTTCTAGATTTGGCACACCTGAGCACATTTAGGTGGAATGAGGAAAAGTAGCTGTATATTTGTCTGCCTAGTCTCTGTCTCCTTAGATGAGTGAATATTTTAGGCAGTAAAGGGTAAGGGTTCAGGTTTGGAATCTATTTGCCTGGGTTAAAATATTGGTTCTCTCAATTACTAGCTGTTACTGATGGCTAGTCACTTTGCAGCTTCATCTGTAAAATGAAAAGAGTACTGTTTAGAATACTAGGATGTTGTGAAGAATAAATTTGTTAATGTATGTAAATGCTTGGTGCAGCCTAAGTGTTCAATAACTGGTATCTTTTGGAAACATCTTATTGAGGGAAAATTTAACGAAATACAGGTGTCCTTCAGTATCAGCGGAGAATGGATTTTGGGATCTCCAGTGGATAACAAAATTCGAGGATGCTCCAAGTCTCATGATTAATCCCACTCCTGTGCAACCAGTTGCATTCAGTCATACCTGACGGTTGTTCATGAGGCATGTTGTGTTTTGTCTTATTTAATTATACCAACAACTGATATATGCAATGGAATTTGCACCCACACCCCTATAGACCTTAAATCATCTCTAGATTGCTTCTAATGCCTAATGCAATGCAAATGGTATGTCATTAGTTGTTTTATTGTTTAGGGAATATCGACAAGGAAAAATGTCTGTACATGTTCAGTACCGACACAAATTTTCTTCTGAATATTTTCAGCTCATAGTTATTTGAATCTACAGATGGGGAGCCATGGTTACTGAGGGCTGACTACAACCTAAGCTTGTAGGAATGTATGTCTTTAGACCTGATCCTTAATGTGGGACAGTAATAGTGGTGTTGGAGGTAAAGGGCATCAGAGCACTCAGATGGCAGAGAGACTTGGCTGGGAAGCCCCTGGGTTGAACCTGTCTGCTACAGAATTGGGGAGGAGTTCCAAGAGTCCAGCAAGCACCAGTATTGCCCAGAGCTGTCCATCATGCACTGAGGGCAACATGCATGATATCAAAGTTTCTAGTAGCCACATTTTTTAAAAAATGGATGAGATTAATATCAGGAATTTATTTAACTCACTATAGCCAAAATTATTACCATTTCAACATATGGTCAATATTAAAAATTGTTAGCTATTTTTGCATTCTCTTCTTCTTAATAAGTCTTTGAAATCCAGGCTGTACTTACAACTTTCAGCACATTGAACTTAGACTGGCTACATTTCAAGGGCTTATCTGTCACTTGTAGCTAGTGGTTCCTGCCCTGGGCAGTGCTGACCTGGTGGATTTGGATAAACCAAGATGGTGGTGCCCATCTGCAGAATTTGATTCAGCAGGTTGTGGTGGAGTCTGAGAGTGTGCATTTCTAGCTAGTTCTAACTAGTTCCTAGGTGACGCTGATGCAATAGCTCTGTGTCCCACACTCTGAGAACCACAGGCATCCCATCAGACCTGAACCCAGCTGCCTAACAGTGTCTCCAGTCCCAGCAGTATGAAATTTTTCCTTTCATCACCTGAATGAAGTGTGGAAAAGCAAACAGGGCCTTGAGAGCCTTTAATTAAAAAAAAAAAGCAATTCAAATAGTACAAATTCTTACAATGAAATTCCACGGGTGTTTGGAGAAGGAGAAAAAGCTAGTAAAGATATCTCCTATTGGTCACATTTTATGGGATTTTAGAGCTCAGAAGGCCACTCTCAGTCCATTGTCATTTGTTTAAAGAAGAGGAAACTGAGGCCAGGAAGCTGCATGGTTTTGCCCCAAAGTCACTGATTGCTGGGTTTGAAGTTCATATTCAATGGCAAAAAAACCTTTTTTTTCTTTTAAATTTTCCTTTGAAATAATATCCCTGACAATTTTTTTAGATATTTCTAGCAACAGTTCTGCAGCTAGAGATGCAATCTTCACTAGTACTAAGTCATTTAGCCGTCTCAAGACTACTAGCAATCTTAAATCACTCTAAGCTACAAGGAGAAAACAAAAAGACTAATATGAGGTCAATCACATCAATGTGGGAACTTACAGATACGTGGACCAAAAACCTTCCAGAAGGAAGGAATGAGCCTTACTTTTCAACGTATTTGCCGAATCCATATTCCAGCATATTTAAGAGGCAGGTTGTTTCCGTGGGCTTTATTTCATAGCCAACAATCTCACTGATCTGCAAAGAAAAGGAGACAAGTGTCTTCATCCAAGCTGACACCTTTCTATAGGACCTTCTGTGGTGGTGGAAATGTCCTTTGCTAAATAAAGGGAGAAAGTCATGAATCCATGAGACAGGCAGACTCCCACATTCTGTGACCTGGGGATGCTGGGAAGGAGGAGGGACTCCCCCTTCAAAATGCCTCCCTTTTTATGCCCACTGTGCTTTTTGGAAATCCTTCTGGTATAAATGCTGCCTCAGGCTTACCTTGTAAGTGCAAATATCCCCAAGAAGGGACATAATTGAAGACTCTGGTGGCATTTGAACACTTCTCAGAGGCTGAAAGATCTGGGTAGTGTGAGGGACTTGTGCACTGGAAGGAAGATGGAGGCTGGTGCAAGGGAGAGACTCTATGAAAAACCTCACCTACTATTCAATTGTGTCTCTGTCCAGCCCCCAGAGGACTAAAGAAAGCCAGAGAAAGAAGGGGCATGGGAGCCATGTCACACTATCACCTATCCCTGTGTCCCTGGTGTCTTTGGCATTTGGTAGGCACAGGTAAGTATTTATGGAGTGAAAACATCAATGGACCAGCTAACTCAAATGGCTTCCAATCTGGGTTCTGAGGCCACCTGGAGGGCTGCTAAGGTAATGGAAATAACAAGAGGAACCAATAATTATTGAGGGCTTATTATGTAGCAGCTCCTATTTCTGGCTGTATGCACTTATTCAATTTGCACAGCATAATGAGGAAGATACTTGTGTATTATTATTCCCATTTTACATATAAAAAATCTGAGACAAAGAAATTAATTATCTTGTCCAATAATACCCAGCTAATCAATGGCAGAATTGGGACTTGAATCGAATCCTGACTCCAAAGCTCTTATCCATCAAACTCTATCCTGTCTCTCACAGGTCTTCCTATGTACAGTTGTGCAAGTTATATACTGCAAAACTCTAGAAAGCACAGTTCATGCTGTAGTACACAAAAATAGCATTTCCTAGAGTTAGTGCAATAGACAACCTACCCTGGTGACCCTGTTTTCGTTATTCTCTTACATCTCTGAAAGAGTAGCTCAGAGTAACACAATATCTATGAGACTAAAGGACACAGCTATGTAAAGCACTTGGCATAGTGCTTGGTCCATAGAAATAACTCACAGATTGGTAATTTTATTTTTTTACTTGCTTTTGTTGATTTTAAAGATTGACAAAACATCTAGTTCTCTAATTCTAAAAGCCTAGATCTACACTGACCAGTGTGTAGCCATTAGCCCTTTGTGGCTTTTGAGTACTTTAAATGTGGCTAAAGTGCAAAGTATAAAAATATGCCATATTACAAATATTTCACATTAGCATTATTATATTAATATGTAAATGTTAACATTTGGAGTATATTTGGTTAATTTTTTTTCCTTTGGTGCTAGGAATTGAACCCAGGGGTGCTTTTACTCTGAGTTATATCTCCAGAGCCCTTTTTATTTTTCATTTTGAGGCAAGGTCTTGCTAAGTGGCCCAGACTGGTCTCAAACTTGTGATCTTCTTACCTTACTCTCCCAAGTTGCTGAGAACACAGGCATGTGCTTTTTTAAAAAATATGTTCATAAAATTTATTTTGCCTGTATCCTTTTTTTAAATGTGGCTACTAGAAACTAAAATTTATGTATAGCTTATGTTTTCTTTCTTTCTGTTGGACAGCACTGTTCTAGTCTGAGTGCCAGCTTTGGTATAGAATAGTGTAATTCCTTTCCAAGGTCAAATGTTATCTTGTTCCATCTTGTTTTAAACCACAGAAGCAACTCTTTTGTTGACATTTGTAGAGTTTATGCCTCACTAGTTTTTCCTGCTTAAGTGATGATGAGTGGCCAGGAACCACAGCACAGCCACTCTGTGGTTCTAGAAGATCTCTCTAACGTTGGAGCTACAAACAGTTTCACCTGCAGAACCTCCTGCCAGAGCCAGAATCTATACAAATACATCTCCTGAGTTAGGCATCAAGGAAGACAATGGCTTCCCCAGGCCTGGAGCTGTCACTGGGATGGGACACTGGTATGACCTACAAAACTTGAAGACATGGGCTCTTGAGTGGAGATGGCCCTGAGTGCACCTGGAGACCTTGTCCTTTCTGAGCCCACATTTTCCTGTTCAGCCCATTGGGCTTCCACCTTCGAGGCTCATAGCTCAGGAGTCACCTTCCTGGGGCCACACTCCACTTTTCCCTATGGTTTACTGCCCCCCTACTGCCAGCCCCCTTCCTCTGCCTGACATTTCTTGCCCTCTTTTTGTCTTTGTAGTTGAGCCGAACCGAATTCTCATTTCCTCCTTGTCCCCCAACTAGCTATGTGACAAATGACTTAATCTCTCCAATCTCAGTTTTCCCATCTGTGAAATGGAGATAATAATAGCCCCTACTTCAAAGGGTTGGTGTGAGGATAAAATGGGATAATTCAAATAATGTAAGCAACAGAGCACCCATAATGCAGCTGTTACTGGATACGTTTTCACTATTATTGCCATTATTGGACTCTAATTCCAAGGAACAATTTTTTCCCAATCTGTTTATATAAGACTTTTTTTAAAAAATATTTTGATTAGTTGTTCATGGACCTTTATTTTATTTACTTATTTATATGTGGCACTGAGAATCAAACCCAGTGCCTTGTACATGCTAACAAGTGCTCGACCATTGAGCCACAACCCCAGCCCAATATATAAGTCTTTAAATGAGAATTAAGAGTGGCTGGGTTTTTTAAAGTTCTCCCTGTAAGAAAAGTGTCATCACAGAGGGAGCACCAAGTGGGAGGGAATGGAGGCCTCCCCAAGAGTGTTCTTTAAAGGTCTTCTATGAGGTTACTTTTGATAATGCCATCTCATAGAGAAACTCGGCACTAACAGAGGTCACCTGTCCACCCAACCTCTGAAACCCCAAAGCAGGTCTAAGTTCTAGCTCAGCTAGGTACATAGGGATAGGAGCCCTGTGGCACCAAGTGAGGACAGCCACTCTTTGCAGATCCCCTGCAGGGGCATTCCAAGGCCATGAGTCCACACCGCTGACCTTTCCCATGTCTTTCTTAGGTCTTCAGTCTCAAAGCTTTCAGAGAAACTGAAAGTAGTTCCTCACTACAGAAGAAGCCTGAACCTTTCATGTATCAAGACCCTCATGGAGGGACCAAAACGTTCCTAACCACTGGGATCAGGAGTTCATACCCCTAAAGGTAATGCATGTGACATCAGATTGAGTTCTTCCAGGGACAAGGTCCTCAGTCTTGACCATGATTCTGAGAGAAGGAATTTCGGGTAAGTCAGAGAAGTGCTTACCATGGGAAGTCAGTCTCTACCTCCACAGGGAGCAATTTCCTGGAATGGACATTTCAAGGCCATTGCTAGCCCTTGAGTATGGTGATTATTTTAGAAACACAGTGAGTTTTCTTTTTCGGCTTAATGCTCACATCACACTTATCAATCTCACACTTGATTGCTTATAAAAATCCTAACTATTTTTATGAAGAATATTTATTATTCTCATTCATAGGCTCAAAGGGCTGAAAGAGGAGTGCAAAATTACTTCTGAATATGGGCTGTTTGACCATGAAACTGCACTCCAGAGTCAGCCTGAGCAGGAATCAAGCAATTCTTTTTAGTGTATGCTAGGTCAAGGAACAAACCATCTGTAATTTAACACTCTAATCACTCGTTAGGACCTCCAGTAAAGCAGACAAGGAGACCCTTTGTAGCCACTGGCTCGAATAATATTCAAGAAACCAGCAACAGGTCCCAAGGGAAGGCTCAACCTGATCTTGAGGCAAGAAGTTCATTCTATATCCCACCCATTCCCTTTCTTCCAGGGCTATCATCTCCACTCCCTTGGTCTCAAGTAGATTCTCCTTTCAGCAAGGAGAAGCTCAACACAGCCATGTTTCCTGCCTCCCAAAGGGCCACAGGGACCAGGCGAGGGCTGGGGCAGTGGGACAGGCAATGATAAGAACCTGCTGCCAGTGCCGATCTTTCATTCCCGGGTTGCAGGCAATGATGAGGATAGGAATGTGTTGCTTGAACTTTTCGATCTTTATCTTGACATTCTCTGCTAAGCGTTTGGGTGCAGGCACATCTGCAAAGGTTTTGATCAATTTATATGTCGTCCTCCACATGTTCCCTATCTCCTCTGCGATTTCCTCAGCATTCAGTAAATAGAGGGGGCCTGAAACAGAAAAGATGGGGTGAGGGAAGAAGGGTCAGTCCACGAAGTAGATGTTTGTCCTGTCTGCCTTTAACTCCCTGAACTTAGGATTGAGCCAGTCAACAGGACATTGGAACACACATGGGCTCTGGGGTGAAACCTCCAGGTAGCCAGTCTAACTTGGCCTGTTATCAAACTTGTCTAAGTCTTGACAGTATTGTCTGTAATACAGGGGTGATAATGGACACCATGAAGGATGATTGGGAAAGTGACACAAGACAACATGAGTGACTCCCATCACACCTGGCACGTAACAAATGTACAGCGAAGGCAGCTGTTATGATTTTCAATTGCTCTCCTAGTAGCATTAAGAGGAGTTCCAACTTGCTGTGAAATAACAGGGAATGCAGGTGAACAGGGTATGGCAGCCCTCTGTGTAGTTCTGGCAATTTCTATATAAACTTGAAATTATTTATAAAACAAAGAATGATACCTTCTTTAAAAAAAAAAAGTGCTTCAGAGCATTAATTTCCTTCTCTGTCTTTATTTTTGTAGGGAATCTTTAGCACTTGGATTCCACAGTCAGCCAAAATCTGAGCATGCTGCTGGGTCCCCCTGGACATTTCAAATTAGCATTAACACTTACATCATGATGTTGCTAACTTACTCAAAACCATGTTTCTTTCAGGATTGCCTGGACTAAATGTAGCTTCGTTTATTCAACAGGCTTCATCTACTCAACATTTTTATTGAGTAATCAAAAATTAAAACTAAAAAAAGAAACAGACATGTGGGTGCCATCTGTGCAGCAGAAACATTGTAGGTGCTGGTTTAGAACAGAAAAGCACCTACATGAAAGGAGTAACTTCTGCTTAGGAGGGATTGGCCGAATTACCAGTGAATTTACAAGTAGGATGAATAAACTAGGTGGGGTTTTTGTTTGTTTGTTTTTTGGTTTTTTTTTTTTTAACCGGGCCACAGTTCCCCCTCAACTGCTGAGTCAGGCACAAAGGACGTGATATATTTGGATTCTCTGCTAGGAATCAGGCTAAGGGCAGACAGCATCTTGTCTGAAGCTCTTTTCCTGGATGTTTATGAAACAAGGAATCTGACTTCTCAATAAACATTCAACTTCAATTGTAATTAAGGGAAAGAATACTTTTTAAAAATAAATATAGCATTTTAAATATCACATTGGCAAAAAAAAAATTTTTCAAAGCTATTCATTCATTACTAGGTTTGTTGGGTACTCTTAAAAATGCAATTAGAAGAATGAATTAAAATGTATAACTTTTCTGGAAGGCAATAACTAAAGCATTCTTTTAAATCTTAACAATTTTGATAATATACCATCTGATCTAGCCATTTCACATTCAGGAATTCATCCTAAGTAAACCATCCTTGTGGTGTCCAGAAAACATGCAGTAAAGACCTTCATCTCAGTTGTGTTTATAATACTGAAGTATCAGAAATCAGCTAAGGGTCCCCAATTTTATCCTCTGCTCATTCATGCCTTTAATTATCATCTGCACGTCAACTACTCCCTATAAACCACTCCACCAAACCCATCTCCTAAAGTCCATCCTGAGTTAATATTTCTGTTACAGTTTAGATATTAGGTGTCTCCCAGAGCTCATGTGTGAGATAATGCAGGTGATAATGCAGGAGTTTAGAGGTGAAATGATTGGGTTATGAAAGCCTTAACCCAATCAGTGAGTTAATCTCCTTAGGGATTAACTGAGTGGTAACTGAAGGCAGTAGGCATGTGGCTGGAGGGGTGTGCCTTTGGGGTATATATTTTGTATGTGATGAATGGAGTCTCTCTCTCTCCTTCCTGGTGTGATGTCTCAAGCCACTTTTCTCCATTACATCCTTCTGCCATGATGTCCTGCCTCTCCTGGGTCTCTGAAGAACAGAGTTGTCCAACCATGGATTGGGACCTCTGAAACCATGAGCCACCAAATAAACTTGACCTCCTTAAAATCATTCTTGGCAGGTATTTTGGTCACAGCAACTAAAAAGTAACTAAAACAATTTCCATTTGGATGTTTTCAGACATATCAAAATCAATGTATTCAAGTGTAATTTTTCCCTAACAAATTTGTCACTTCTCTGCTCAGTGAAGGCAAAGCCTACCAAATTGCCTGAGCTAGTAATTTGGAAGTCACCTTGGGTTCTCCCCTCTCCCTCCCTGCCCCTTACTCCATATCAGCTCAATCATGAAGTCTTATTGCTTCTACCTTCTCCATTCCACCCTACCTCCAGAGGCTAGAGGAAAAGGTGACTTATGGTCAATGGCACACTGGCTCTTCTCCTACCTCATTCTCCCTGCATCTGCCTCTCTCTGGTCCCTGGCTCTGGGCACTGCCCATCCTATCTGCTCTGGCAACAGTTCTGGCACTTAGAGCCACACTTTCCTTTGTTATCATATCAGAAAATGTTGACTGTGGCTGTTTTAACCTGGAGTGTCAGAATTTGATAAAAAGTCCAGCCAGAATATGAAAAGAAGACCTTTGTTTATTTGTTTCCTTTTTTTTTTTTTTTTTTTGTACTGGAGATTGAACCAAGGGCACTTTACCACTGAGATATGTTCTCAGTCCTTTTTACTTTTTGGGACAGGGTCTCACCAAGTTACCTAGGCTGGCCTCAAACTTGCCATCCTCCAGCCTCAGCCCTCTGAGTCGCTGGGATTACAGGTGCGCACCACTGCACCTAGCATTAGACCTTATTTCAGAACTGCTTGAAAGGGGAACCCCCTTCCCCATCCCCATTCTGTCCCTGTGGAGTGAGAACATGCCATACCATTCATCCATTCCTCTGACTTGGTGCTGAACTCGTAGGCCGTCACCCACAGCTGCTCGTAAGGTACTTTGTTGGTTATCAAGGTTTGCAGAAGTAGGAATGAACTCTTCTCCTTTTCCAACAGCTCTTCCTCTTTATTGATCAACTGCAGGACAAAAGGGGATTCTGTCTATCAGGGAGGTAGTTCCCTGAACCCTAAAAGCCTCCAGAGAAAGTTCCTTAGCACACTGAAAACCCAGTGGAGGAAGATGCTCCCTCACCTGAGAGTAAAAAGAAAATAAGATACTGACTCCAGCAAGAAGGTCCCTCTACTACCTTCAAGGGCCAGGGCAGCCAAGATCCAGCTGGTAGATACTACAGGATAATTTGCTGCTTGATCCATCATCTTTGTTTCCAATGTACCATGACTTGGCCTTTTTTCCTAATTTCTGTACATGTTTTAGTGGTTTATAAGACTGTTTCCAGGCCTTCCTAGGTGGACTTGCCTCAGAGAACTGTAATGGCTAAACAAACTTACCAGCTGATCTTTTGAGGAAAGTTACTTTAGTGACTGCAAGTTTTAGTCTCCCACTTCAAATAGGGATAAACGGGGATAACAAGCCCCAAGAGTTTGCTGCAGGCATTAAATGAGATATCATACATGGGAGCCCTTTGCATGTCACTGAGCACGTAATAAATGCTCAACACATGTAAGCAATTACATTATTATATCTTCTTTGTGTACGCATATGGCTTACAAAAAAAAATCTGTTGTAGGCGTGTAGAAAAAGATAGTTGAAAGTACCAATGAAAGAACTAGTCAATTAATCAATCAATCAATACTATCCACCTGACAGATGTCATTGGGAAAATATAAGACCAAGAACCAGAATCACCAGAGTCACAAGTCCCCATTCCATGATCCCAAACCTCAAATTCCATCAGCGCCTGATCCAAGTTCTTTGAAAGCTCATGAAGCTTTTCAACGTTGTTCTTCATTTCCTCTGTAGTCATCACTTCCCGCTTCCTAAAGCCTTCCAGTTCTTTGCTGTAGCCTTCCAGTCTTGACTCAAATTCTGAGCACCTGAAAGTAAAAGCCCAGTCACATGGGGATCTTCCATTTAGTGATCTTTCATTGCTCACTCTGGGAAGACGTTGATCTGGCATCTGCAGATCCCCCTACTCCCCTCTCTCTCTTTCTCTCTCTCTCTACTTCTTTATTTATCTAAAAATAAATGAAGAAGAAAATAATTCCTATAATTACACTTACAAGATATGGATCAGCTGTGAACCTATCTGTGATTAAACATTTCCGGATGTTTTCCTACACAGGTAAGCAGGTAAATATGAAAATGTATGTATGTACCTATTGCTTATCCATTTGGCTATTAGATAAGTATTTATTAGTGAGTACTGAATACATTCCAGAACTGGTCTAAGCATCATAAATAAATCTGTGAAGTATGTTATTAAGCTGTCTATCTTCATGGAACACATATTTTAATTGTGGGAGACCTAGATGATAAACATGGATGGATGTATGGATAGATGGATCCACAGGAGGATAAAAGTGAAATGAAATATTCCTCATAGTGATAAATACTCTAAAGAAAACAAAACACAGTGGTTAGTGGATCAGTTGGTGGAGGGCTATTTCAGCTAGGGGGATTGGGGCAGCTGTGGGCAGGGAGCATTTACAGAGATTTATCTACTTCATCCATTGGATCAACAAAGCAAATCTCAAACTTGCTTCTCCCTTTTCCTAATCAGGTAGAATAACATTGTGCTTCATGGACAGGGTCTGGAGCCAGACAGGCTTGGTTCAGATGCTTATACTGCCACTTCATAGCTATGTAGACCAGGGCAAGTCACTTAAACTCTCCATGCCTCCAAGAAAGAAAACAGAGAGAGGAAAAAGTTTTTACTTAATAGTAAATTAATATAAAACATTCAGAATTGAACCTGCTGCAGAATAACTACTATATAAGTTCTCACTCACTGGAATGTAAATCTATAAAAACAGCTTTTGCCTCCTTAATTCCTCGTTGTATTCCCAGCACTTGGCAGAGAGAACTGACACTCGGCAAACAATCAATATCCGTTGAATAAACAAGGGGAGGTGCCATGGAGAACAGCTTCAGTGACACTCCATAAATTTGGCTATTATCTTAAAAATATTTAATTCTGTTATGGCAGTTTTAATGTCTTTTTTTTTTCCTCCTTAGGAGCATGAGAGTTATTTTCAAGTGATTTGAGTGATTTGATTTGGGTTTATTTCTAATTGCACTGCGTGGGAAGCAGCCTAAGGATCCCCACCTCCTGGTGTTCTTACCCTGTGTAATAACTCACTTCTTACAGACAGATATGGCAAGAGGGATGGGGTGTCGCTTCCAAGATTAACTCACAGGAAGACTGACTTCTATCTTGCTTTCTCATTCTTTCTCTTGGTCTCTTTCTCTCTTGTTCTGAAGGAAAACAGCTGCTGTGCTCTGAGCTAGCCTGGGGAGAGACCCTGTGGCAAGGAATAGATGGCAGTTTCTGGCCAACAGCCCATGAGGAACTGAATCCTACAATATCATGTGAGTAGGTCCAGAAAGAGGTCCTCCCCAGCTCAGATGAGGGCACAGCCTTGGCTCAGACCCTGATGCCAACTCCATGGGAGACCTTGAGCCACAGGCATATAGTTAAACTGCACTTGGATTTATAATCCAGATTCTGTGAGATAATCATTTTTTAATTATTCTAATCTGTTATGTTTTGATATACCTCAATAGATAACTAATATACATTATTATATAATTTCTTCTTAGAATTTTTTAAGCCCATATGTATATACACATCAATTTGCATATATGTATATAAATGTGTATGTGTGTATGTATGTATATACGAATTTCTATACAATAGTTCACTCAGGAAATTAGGTCAAGTAAGTGAGTTGTACTTGTGGGACCACCTGGAGTCCAAGGAAGGATAATAGAAAAATTTAAAGATGGTGGATTGGCCAGAATTCTGGCAGGAAATGGGATTATCTCTGATGTTCTAAGATACTTCAACAAAGGGACTACCTACAGAGGTAAAATACTGGTATGGTTAAAAGAACAAAACAGTACATAGTAGGCACCCAGAGACCTTCCTTGGCGGGGAACCCTTATGACCCCTAGGCATGAGGGGACAAGGAGAATTGAAACCCTAGAGCAACTGGCATTGCCACCCAGAGCCCCAGGGCCAAGCAGAGAGGGAAAGGAGAAAAGGGCCCCCAATCCCTCTCCAGCCTTCTGTAGGAGTCTCCACTGGCAGGATCCCACGGATGAGGGAACTGGAGGCCACAGTCTGGACGTCAGCCTCTCAGACAGAGCAGGAGGAGAATGGACAGCAGGGTGAGGTGGGAGCAGATCAAGGAGAATAACTGGCATGGAAGCCAAAAATTATTGAGGGCTGGAAAAGCAAGCTCAAGCTTCTTGGAGAGGAAACAGGATTGTTTTCATAGACGACAGATGAAACATGAATATTACTCAACCCTCCTCCCAGGACGCCCCCAAGGTTAGTTCAAAATTATAGACAGGATGAATGTCTAAGGGCAGCAAGGAGAGGGCTGGGCCAGGGCTGCTTGGTAAGCCTCTTCCAGATGGCTCTTCTGTGGCCTCTACTGCTGAGCCCAGGAACCAGATGCCAGGATCAAGCTGAGAGCTCTCAGAAAGGAGAAGCCCGGCTCTCTTCTCCTCTCACCATAAGTGACAGCTGCTCCCACTTTCCCCAGGGTCCATCCTCACTCCTCTTAAGTCCAACAGCACTTCTGCCTCCAGGGTACTGCATCCTAAAGTACACCTTCGAGGAGGCAGCGTCTGGAAGTTCAAAAGCATTCTTCACCCAAAGGGATCATTGTTAAAAGCAAGGGGGAAGCTGAGAGCATTGATGCCCACCATGCACTAGACACCAATCGGCACACTCTGAGCTCATTTCATTTCATCCTTGAACACAATGTTTGGCTGCAGTGTTATCCCACCCTCCAGATGAGGGATACTAAGGTTCAGAGAGATGATGGAACTTGCTTCTGTGCATCTATCTAACTAACAAAATAGTTTTGCTTTGTGGTTAGGCATAAAAGTCAGTTCCACAGGGAAGGCTGTGTATGTGAGTAGGTGTGGGGCATTATCTGGGAACTCTTTGTACTCTTTACTCAGTTTTGCAGCAGATCTAAAACTGCATTGAAACATAGTCTATGAATTGAGAAATATATCTCCTCCACCCATCAGGCTAAGTTCCAGGCTCTGGAGACAGTATTCATGTAGGTAAGGAGAAGGTTGTAAGAGAGAAAACAAAAAGACATTTTTATACCCCCTGGGGAACAGATCTAGGTCTTCTTTTCAAGGTAGGAGATAAATAGGTTTCTCCTCAAGCCAAACTTTCATTCTGTATAGAGTCTGTCTGTCTGCCTCTCTCATGGTCCTGTGGGCTGAACCCCAGGCCTCGCACATCCTAGACAAGTGCTCTATCATTGAGCTACACACCCAGCCTGAAGTCTACTTTTATCCACCCTTTTCCTTTCTTGAAAGTATTTACAGGGATTACAGCAGGTGAAGTTGGGCAGTGGGAGTCTCATGTGTGAAGAAGACAGGGTAATTGGCATGAATCTGTAGTTCATGGTCCAAGTGTTACAAACTGGTATGTGTGTGTGTATGTGTGTGTGTGTGTCTATCATGTGAAAAACACTTGGCTCCCTTGACTTGACATTGTTAGATTTTTCAATATGTCTGTATTTTCTCTGTCGCTGGATTAAAATCTTTATTTAATGGCCAAACACATGCATGTCTAGAATAGAACCCATCACATAGTAAAGATCCACAATAAATTCCCATTGACACAGAGTGAATGAAAAAAAAATGATTATAGCCACATTAGCACTGAACAAGACCAGCTGCAAAACAGTCAATTTCTCAGCCCCCTGCCGTGCCTTTATGTCCCCTGTCTTGATACCGCACAGATCTGTGGTCTCCAACGCCAGGCTGACACTTCTGCTGTTGCTATTGTGGAAGCCGTTATTACATGTCACTATTTTTGCCTATTTCTCTCTGCTCTGCCAAAATTTCAATTATTCCAAAACAGGGAGGAAAGACATTGGCAGGGATTACTACAGTGAAGCAGGATTAAAGAGAACACCCCTCAGTGGGAAGCCAAAGGAAATTCCTTCTCCACCAACTATCTTGAGTCTTCACCCACTCACTGCTATGGGATGGCAGGTGCTCTATGCAGCACTGGTAACCTGCTGGGAGTGTTATGAAGTCTGGTCTCATTTCCAAAACAACCCCAGACTCTCCCTGTACCTTTTAATCAGGTCCATTTCTGCCAGATCTCTCTTGTTAAGGAGCAGGTTTCGGCTGTTTTCAAAGATATCTTCAATCTGATCTGGCCAGAGGAACAGAGTGCTGTTCAGTTTGATATCCTCTTCTGCAAAACAAAGACAGAGTGCTCCAGGACACTGTCTAGCATGTGGGGAATTAGTTCAGCAAGTCAAAAGTTCAACCAAAGCCACTGGAGGGTGGCAATGAATGAATGGAACTGTGATGGATGAATGCTAGCCAACATCTATTAAGCACTTACTAAGGGCCGGGCTAGAAAGTAGATAATATTATCATCTTCATTTTTTACAGATAGGAGACAAAGTGGTTAAACCAAGTGGTCAAGGTTACACTGCTAGAGGTCGGCAGAGCAGAATTTGAATCCAGGTCTAATAATAATCCCCAAAGTCTATGTTCTAACCACTCTGTTTTATTGGCTAAGTAGAGTCAGAAACCTGGGTTGAATTCAACATTTCGAACCATTTACTTCATCTGAATTTAGTTTCCCTTTGGTTAAATGGCTGTAATGGTATCAAAGCCAGATGCCCTGCCATCATGGCTCGGTCAAATTAAATGCACTGGGTTTCCTTGTAACTTTTGGAGGCAGAGACAATGAGAGAGCCCAGGGTCCAGGGCACAGCTCATGAATGTATGCATGGGGTTAGGGAACCCCTTTCCACTTCCAGTACCCATCTTGCACTCCTCATACACACTGTGAACACCAGGTAACATGCAGGTGTTCTCAGGTGGAAAGGGGCTCGTGGAGAGCATTCAACTTTTCCCTCAGGGCTTAGTCCTTACTTCAAAACTCTAACTTGACCCAAGAAGCCTTCAGGGGCTTTGAACCTTTCTTTTCTTTTTAAGATATGCAGAAGCATAAAGGAATATAACCTGGTACCCTCAAAGGTGGGACTGTATTAAGATTACAGAAAAGTAAAATCTAAGGAGTCTGCATTTGGAATTGACATTTCCAGAAATATCAGACATAAGATGCCCAAGACAGGCATCTAAGAGCTACATGTCAAGGTTCTAGATGCATTTTCCTTTTGTCTAACAATATTCCCCTTTTGTGAATCAAATCCCCACAGGTAGGAGTATGGAATTAGTGCCTCCATCTCATGGGGGCAGCTGAAAAGCAGCTCTTCTAATATTTGGTGGTAGGATTCCCATATCCTTTTCCCCCTCCAGCTTCTTACTCCTAAAAATATAAGATATTTTATCTTATATGTGCCTGTGAAAATGTAAATATACATATGCACGTGTGGCCCTGGACTTACGGGGCAAATCTGCATAGTCCATCAGGAACTCCAGCCGCTCACTTGCATCTCTAAGTTGTCTCCTGAGTTTGAACACAGTGACATCACTGGATTTCTTTAAGAATTCAATGAGAAGTACCAGCTCCTTAGTGTTGGCAGGAATCTCACTGACTCTTTCTGCAATGGTGTTGTACTGATTACAAATGCTACAGAGAAAGAAATGGCTGCCATCACCATCACCATCACCACCACCACCAGCATCATCATCATTGACATAAAAAATGTCTTCTCGTAAGACCCGTCATGCTAAGCAGACATGATCCTTATTTAGACACTACACCATTGTTTTCTAACTTTTCTCTACCTGCAAACCCTTGCTGGATAATATTCACATGCACATCACACTCCAGGGATAGTAACAATGGTAATGGTCTTGTGTAATGACAGGTACTAAGCTCTCACAAGGTGCCATGCTCCATGCTAACCATTTATATATATTAATTATTTAATAATTATAAAAGGTAGGTACTATTATTATCTACATTTGATGATGGAAGAAAGTCAATCTGAGTAACTTCATCCAAAGCAACACAGTTGCTAAGTATCAGATCCAAGATCTAAATTTTGGTTAATTGACTCTAAAGCTCATAATCTTAATGAATAAACCATACCAATTCTCATGAGTAGACCAAAACAGTAAGAATATCACCACAACCAACAACTTCTCACATTTTATGGTAAAATGGAGCACCAAGTTAATTCATAATCACCATCTTAACAGTATACCAGCAAGTTTATTCTCATATAATGGACCTGAATTCCCTGTCATCCTCACTCTGGGGCAGAAAACACTTGAATCAGAACTTCAGCCTGGTCACTGCTGGAAGGCACAAGTTCTGTTTTTTGATTCTCTGGGTTAATGTAAAATATTATTGCTATTTACACAGAATGATGATACCTGGAATTGGTGTCCCGATTTACATCCACTTGGTATCGAATCAAACGGTCTTTGAGATTTTGGGCTCTCTCACAGAGATCATAATTTAGGGTCATGGTGTCAAGACAGAACATGGCTAAAGGCACAGTAATGTGCATGGATGCAATTTCACTTCTCCGCTTTTTTATGCCATTGATGTTCTGCAGAAAGGAGCACATTCAGCAGCTTGATTTGACTTGAGCTTCTTACCCATTTGCCCCCAGCCTCCTCCGGGGCAAACACCAGCCCAATACTGAGACCTATATACCCTACTGAAACATGATGACTACTCTTTGGATTGACTGTAGCACATATCACTAAGGAATGAAATATCAAGAGGGGTTCATACCGTCACAAAATCATTAATGTCTTGATTTTCTTTCAGGAAAGCAGTGATGTTTTGTTCTGCCATGTTATCCAATAGATCATTGTACTTTTTGTATACATTTAAATATCTTCCATGTTGAAGAACATAAAATCAAACACACAAATGCAGGTCAACAAATCAGATGAGTCAGAGTGGCCATAAAAGCAGACAATAGCATTAAAAAATGAACCCAGGGGTTGGGGTTGTAGCTCAGTGGTAGAGTGCTTGCCTAGCACATGTGAGGCACTGGGTTCAATCCTCAGCACCACAGAAAAATAAATAAATAAAATAAAATTATTGTGTATCTACAACTAAAAAAAATTTTTAAGAGAACCCAAACCAGGAAAGCGAAATATCAAACTTGGAATTCTGAATTTTGGGGCTTCTAATTCCAATTTTCCAGTTTCTTGCTGCATGAATTTAGATAGTCTGGGTTCTCAAAACTCAGTGTTTTTCAATTTTAAATGGAAATCATAATTCATACTTTATATAATTGTCATAAATCTTAATTATATGTATACATATATATAATTGTATACATGTGTACATATAGTGATTAATACTATGCTTACAGTGAATGTATAATAAATATTAATTTCCCTCCATCCTTCAAAAATTCTATGTCTTTTTTTTTTTTTTTTTTTTGCACTGCTGGGATTGAACTCAGGTCCTCACATATGCTAGGCAAGTGCTTTACCACTGAGCCACTTCCCCAGCCCCTCTATGTCTAATTTTAAGATGAAAATTTGGAGTCAATTAACCTAAAATATACTAAAATAAAAATTATTTGTTTTAAGACCCCAACAAAGTGGCTGAACAGATTTTCCAATGTTGACAGATATATTTGGAATAGTCTGTCTTGAAATAAGTTTAAATTAAAATTAAGGTGTTACTAAGTAAACAGAACTCGCTGGAGCCCGCAGGTTTCCAAGTGTTGGACAACATGTCAGAGACTCTGAAACCGAGATGCAGAGAGAAACCCATAGAACTGTCAGTCCAGAAAGATAAACTGTACGAATATATCTCCATGAACAGGGAAAAACAGGTGCTTCAAATAAAGTCCTCACATTAAATTCCTGAGGGCAGCACTTCCACATTCTGAGACAATGACTTTCAGTCAAGTTTAGTTCTTTTCTCCATTAGAGGCGATTTGGGCCTGCAAGGGATATCTGGCCATGTTTGGAGGACTTTGGGTGGTTCCTGTTGACATTGAGCAGGTAGCAGCTGAGGATGCTGCTAAGCATCTTACCACATAAAGCACAGCCTCCCATGATACAGAATTGAAAGATTCAATAGAGCACAGTAAAGAAACCTGGGGTTCCCAGAATAGCCAAAGCAATCCTTAGAAGAAGAGTGAAACAGGAGGCATCACAATACCAGACCTTAAACTATACTACAGAGCTCTAGTAACAAAAAATGGCATGGTATTAGCAGCAAAATAGACAGGTAGACCAGTGGTACAGAATAGAAGACAAGAGATAAACTACATACATGCAGTTATCTCATACTAGACAAAGACACCAAAAACATACATTGGAGAAAAGATCGCCTCTTCAACAAATGGTGCTGGCAGAACTGGAAATCCATATGCAGCAAAATGCAAATAAACCCCTATGTCTCACCATGCACAAAACTCAACCTTTGTCAAAGTGGATCAAGGACCTAGGAATTAGACCAGGTGCACCTAACAGAGGAAGAAGTAGGCCCAAATCTTCACCACTTCAGATTAGGACCTGACTTCCTTAACAATACTCCTAAAGCACAAGAAATAAAATCAAGAGTTAATAAATGGGATGGACTCAAGCTAAAAAGCTTCTTCTCAGCAAAAGAGACAATCAATGAGGTGAAGAGAAAGCCTACATTTTTGGAGCAAATTTTTGCCACATGCACATCAGATAGAACACTAATCTCCAGGATATATAAAGAACCACAAAAAAATACCAAAAAAAAAAAAAAAACCCACAATCAATAAATGGGCTAAGGAGCTGAACAGATACTTCTCATGTTCAACATCTCTAGTAATTAGAGAAATGCAAGTCAAAACTACTCTAAGATTTCACCTCACACCAGTCAGAATGGCAGTCATTAAGAGTACAAACAACAATAAATGTTGGTGAGGATGTGGAGGAAAAGGCACACTCATACATTGCTGATGGGACTGCAAATTGGTGCAACCAATCTGGAAAGCAATATGGAGATTGCCTAGAAAATTTGGAATGAAACCACCATTTGACCCAGCTATCCCATTTCTTAGTCTATACCCAAAGGACTTAAAATCAGCATACTATAGTAACACAGCCCCATCAATGTTATAGCAGCTCAATTCACAAAGCTAAACTGTGGAAGCAATCTAGATGCCCTTCAATAGATGAATGGATAAAAAACTATGATATATATATATATATATATATATATATATATATATATACACACACACACACGCACACACACATACACACACACAATGGAATATTACTCAGCATTAAAAGAGAATAAAATTATGGCATTTATAGGTAAATGGATGAAATTTGAGAATATCATGCTAAGTGAAGTAAACCAATCCCCAAAAAACCAAAGGCCAAATGTTCTTTCTGTAAGTGGATGCTGATCCATAATTGGGGGGGGGTATGGGAAAAATGGAGGAATTTTGATGGGGCAAAGGGGAAGGTGAGGTGGGGATGGGACATGGGGACAGGGAATATGGTGGAACGAGATGGACATTATTACCCTATGTACATGTATGACTGCACAAATGGTGTGATACGATATCATGTACAACCAGAGAAATGAAAAGTAGTGGTGCAATTGTGTACAATGAATCAAATGCATTCTACTGTCATATATGCCTAATTAAAATTAATTAATTAATTAATTAATTTAAAAAAAGAAACCTTGGGTTAAGGGAACCAGATGTCCTGGCTTGCCTGAGACAAAGTTTATTCCACTGTCCCGTGGTAATTGTTAATAACACTCCTTCTACATCTCAGTTTGGAAGTGACATTATGTGATTACCCTAAAATAGTCACTGCTTGCTCACATTATGTGAACAGCTGTGAGATGTTCTACCGTGTGGTGATGACAGAATTCTAATAACTGCTCCTCAAGCCCTTCTCCCTTAAATTCCCCATTCCAAAAATCTCTGAGAAAACAAAAATTGCATCAAATACTCATTTGGTGGCAAAACCTGGCCTAAACTGATGTGAGGCTACTGATGTGAATATTTGCAGGTTTCACAACAGAAATATGAATATGTTGCCCTAGACCTTGCAGAAGCTGCAACTAATATGTGATAGATGACTTTCTTAAAATCCAGAAATTTTTTTAATGCCAAAATCCATCTGACCCCTTGGCTTTCAGATAATGGAGACAGATCTGCAGTTTCATTCAAATCCTGGCACTTCTGTTTATTTATGGGTTAACATCAGGAAAGTTACAGTTTCCTCATCTGTAACATGGGGATAAACAGTAATACCCATGTAAGTACTGGCAAGTCATTTTATGTACGTGTTTAGGTTTGTGGAAACAGGAATTGCTTATTTGATGATAGTTAAGAACCAAAACCACAAAGACTGTGTAATACAGTTATAGCTCAATGAACTTACTTGTGGGGGCCAACTTGATTTTTCTGAAATACGTCAAAAGTTTGATCCACAAAATCAGAAACAAGTTTTTCTTTACTGTCCACTGTTCCAAGGATCAGGTTATATCCCTTTAACTCTGGGAACAGGACAGACTCCACCTAGAGAGCAGAAAGCACTTTTAGACATCACAGGACATCCACAAGAAGGGAGACAATACCAAAATGCAAGATCTCTAGCAATGGACTCGTTTCCAGGGAAGCCAGCTCATTCTCCCTCTATTCCCTCTCAGGCAGTGCAGGAACCACCCTGCTGTTCTGGCTACCTCCATTCTCTCCTCTCTTCTTGCCTGGATCACTCCCTTTTTTTTTTCCTTTTAATTAGAGTATTATAGTTATGCACAGTAGTTGGGTTCATTTTGACAAAGTCGTACACAGTGGAATTTGATTTACTCCATTTCACTGCCGTTCCCCCCACCTTTCCCTCCTCTCCTTCATTCCCCCATTCTTCTTCTGCTCTACTGATCTTCCTTTCACTCATTTATTTATTTATTTTTGATTGGTGCTTTTTATATGCACATAACGATGGAATTCCCTGTGGTGTATTTATCCATGTTGGTAGCATATTTTTGTTACATTTACTCTGCATTTCCTCCCCTTTTCTGTCCTTCTCCTCCCTCCCTCTTGATCTCCTCCTTCTACTCCATAAGTCACATTCGATTATAAGGGAGTATTCTGGAAGTCAGTTTATGAAACCCCAGGACGAAGCTTTAACTATAACATCTGGGGGCTCGTCCGGGATCCATTTCTTCCCTACCCTCACGCCAAATTTGCCTCCAAGGAAGGGCCTTTGGACCTTGACCTGGGAGTAGAGGGGAGCTCCTGAGAGACGTTCCTCAGCCTTACTCCAAGGACGACTCCAATCCGTCCTTGCCTATATCTTTATGATTGGATTACTCCTCTTTCAGTACCCTGCTCCTTTCAAGTCTCATATTTTTAGAGAGTCCTCGTGGGCCCCCAGGAGACCCTGGGTTTCCCTAAAAGTTCACCTTCTGCTGTGGCAGTTCTCCCACGCCCTAGAGAGCAGTCTGTGAAACTGAAAACAGGAGCAATCCTGTCCTTTCCAGGTAATTAATTGTGACATTCTGCTCTTTTCTCTGGCTCTCTGATCTTGGATTCCTTGGTCTTGACATCACCCTCAGTGCTCCCTCTGGGCACTTCTCTGACTTGGCATTCCCTGGCACATTGAAGAAGAGGACTTACACATTAGGAGAGAGACTGTCCCTTGGCCCTTCTCCATAGCCAAGTATAATTTTTCCTCACTATGAAAGTAATGCAGCAACATGACAGCTAACAACGCTTTAAATTCTACTCATTGCATTTTAGTTTTATAAACATTCCCTTATTCACTCAGCTTCATTTTATTTCTGCGTCTCATTCAAATTTTTTGCATCAGTCAGGGTTAGAGCATCCTTTCCCTCAGTTATACTGCCGAGACAAACAACTTCTAATATTTCCTTTTACTTTCTTTAGTAACTCTCACCAATATGCCTCTATCCTGCACCTTGAATGCTATTTATTTTATTTCCCAAAGTTTCTTACTGAATTCTCTGCCCCCTTTTCCCCCACCAAAAACTTAGGTTTAATCATAAACAAAGCCAGACTAGTAGGGAAAGGGGTAACTGCCAATCTGTCGCTGCTCTTAGATGTAGTTTGTAGCTATTCAACCTAAGAAACTGTCATTTGATTTTTCATTGTTAACTAGAATAGCCAGAAGCACTCAGAGAGGGAGCCGTACTATGGGTGGACATCACTCTCGAGGGAGAACTCCGAGACCTTGTGCTTTTTTCTATGGTTTAGTGCAATAGCTTTCAAACCTGGCACAAATCTGTCCCCTAGGAGGTTGTCTTCTTGCCATTACAATCCACTAAGTAGGGGAGGTGGGGGGTGGCACCAGCCTCTGCTAGGCCTTCCTCAGCAGCATCCCAGCTGCTGGCTCTCCCGCCCCAGCTGCTCGAAAACATCACCCATCAACAGCAGAGAAGGAGGCCTCAAGGAGGGTGTATTTTAATCAGGTCCAAGCCCTACACTTATCATTTCAAATCACAGTCTTTTCTTTCACTTCCTTCCTAGGAATACCGGTTACAGGCAAGCTGCCCTCTTTCACCCACTTCTGCACACCCAATTTTCATGTTCACCATGTTTGGTTGAGATCAAAACTCCTTTGCTGCAGTCAGCTTCACAGGCTTCCCTACACACCTCTTCTCTAATCTTGATTTCTTAGAACTCTCTAAGTACAGGATTATCTAGAGAAGAGGACTCAAATGTGTGTAAGTGTATATTCTGGAGAGAACAAGAAAGAAAGAGAAAACAAGAATCCCCCGCTCCCTCCCCATGTGGGACTGGACAAGGTCCTCTTATCACACCAAACACCTGGAGGGAATCAGACTGGTGTTAAACAATGTGGATGATCCTGTCTAATGGCAAACGTTTGCTCATAACTGTCTGTATCTGATTAGCAATTCCACCCTGGGAAGTAAATGGGAAAGGGCTTGGGCCAGGAAGGGGAGATTTCTCTCTGGAAGTCTACAAGGCAAAGAAACAAACCAACAGGAACTTCAAGATGAAATTAAATCCAGTTTTACAAAAATTTCTGGCAAGTTCATGGCAAGCGATCCATAATGAATTATTAGCCTGAGTTGGATATGGCTTGGGACACATCTGCTCCTTGGGAGTTGGCATCATGGAAGGGACTATACTCCCTCAAAAACAACTCTTAATACCCTTGCTAGAAGCACAGTCCTGGGCTTCATGGACCTTTCTTTATGGCCCACACAATCTTTCTGGGGGTTAAAGGGGTATATTCAAGATATATTCCCAAAGTAAAATTTCCTAAGTGAATACCACACCCATTATGTCTTATACTATCAACCACTTAAACATATTTTATTCAGTAAGTGAATAAAGATACAAATGAGGATTAAGTAAAATAAATACTATACCTTGGGGATCCCATTAGAGTTCTTAATAATTTCTAAGAAAGAATTCTTTATCAATTCCCAGCATGCATCAAAAGTTGGATTAAATACAATACTGGGCTCCTGGACTTCAAGTTTGATCACAATTAGCTGGGGTATGAAGAAATTCATCTCTTGGTAGGGCTCTGTGAAGTCATTTCCATCCTTCAGGAGATACAAGTCATGGCAAATGTCACCAGATTGGGCCTTTCAAAGTCAAGGGAGTGAAAGTCATGCATTCACAGTCTACCTGAGCACCAGGGAGGGAAGTGAACCATACCAAATATTACGCATGTTTAAAACACAGGCTCTGCATAGCCTATCCCACTCTGAGCTCCTCCTGCTCCTCCCCTTTCTCAAAACTCTTGTTTGGTATTGTTTATTTTGCTTAGTGTTTACTGCACTCTAATTTCTAAAACCTTCCCACCCTTCAAAATTCAGCTCTGGGAAGCCTCCCTTCTCTGGATAAAATCTCCTCCACTGCTGAACTTCCATATTTCCACTTCCTTCATAGTATTTTATTTTTATCTTCAGCAAGATTTTAAACTTAAAGGGTGGGATCTATGTCTGATCCATCTCTCTCCTCCAAAATATCCAAGACAGTATTTGGCACGTAGTAGGTGCTCAACAAAAATTATTTAACTGAATCCCAAAGCATGGATAATTATCTGTACACCCCAATGGCACTGCTTATGAGTGTATGGTCTATTTCAGATGCTCAAAACGTCAGTCTTCCTAGAACAGAAACATTGACTTAAAGATATTTCTAATTTTATTCAAAAAAAGTAGATAAGTTTCATAAATTAAAGTGCCTAATGAAATTTCCTTAGGGAGCTGTAAAAGACTTGTCCAGTAATTAAAGATTTCTAGATTTAAGGTAGAACATTTATTGCACATCTACTGTGTGTCAAATACTCATAAATTTCCCCTTTCTTCAGACACATAACTTTTACTTTTTTCTCTGAGTGGAATTTTAGAGTGAGATTTCTCTCCCTATCTGGGTTTCTTCTGCTTGGCAAAGTAGATGTTTCTAACGACATCTACCGAGTTGCCCTCCAGCTTAGAGAGCTGACATTGCAGTCACAATTCAGCAGCGTTGTTTTCTATATTTGTTAGCCAAAGGTCCATTATTTACTTTATTTGTAAAAATACTTAAAACTTCATTTTTATTAGTCTTTTTAAGGTGAAATACAAACATGGTGATAGAATCCAAAAGACTCTTCTCCTTGATTCCTAGGTTGTATCTCAACTGAGGGGAATTCTGTCGTGCTTTGAAAACTAGGACTTTGTGCTCTAAATTTCTATTTTTACTTCACCGAAGCAGTTTCATGAAGAAAGTTACTAGCTAGGTCAACAGAGCCTTTTCTTTCTGGAGGGTTCCCCTTTCAAAGAACTGAGTCACTATAGTCAGTGGATACACACAACAGTCCCTAAATATCAAGCCATGGTTGATATCAGACCTTTTCAAATCCTTCTTTGCACTTTGTAAGTGCCCTCAACCTTACTATAAGAAGCTTGTGTTCCATTTTATGCAAACTTTCTTTAAAATTTCTTAACAACTTCTCCAGTTTGGTAGATGTTTACCAGGAAGGTTTACTGTGTATTTAGACATAATTTTTGTAAACTAACAATTGCCCATCGTGGCTCCAATCCAGAACTTTACTTTTGGGCTTGGTTTACAGCTGAGGACATACGTGTTGGCATCCTGGTTCTAACAAGGTTGTTTTCCTCCGAGAGGACACAGTGTGGATTCCCAGCATACCTTGTGTATCATGAAGAGGGCAACGAGGTCCTCGAGGGACTTGATGACCAGCTCTCTGAGCTGCAGTGACATGAAGGAAGCAACCGAAGCAAAATATTCCTTGATGCTTCGAGAGGAGTCATAGTCACTCTTGGGAGCAAAGCGGATCCAGTGTTCCTTTTGTGAGACAAAAAGCTGGGCACAGGTAGGGATCCACCTGTGGAGAAAGAAGAGAATCCACGTAAGAAGCTTTCTGAGCTCCGAGAAGCCCTCTCTGCCATCCCTCTGCTCTCTGCAACCAGGCAGATGACTCATTTCCTATTAAGTGGTCTTGTAAATTGGTCATTTCATAACCCTGGTTGCTTCACCTGCAAACACCCCTTTCCTGGAAGCAAATAAGATTTAAATTGAGAGGCTGTTCTTCCATTGACCATACCCAAATGCACAGAGGGTGTGGGTGGCAGGTCCTGCTGAAAGTCTATAGCTTATTCTTTATAATAAGAGATTGGGGTACAGTGGCTTAAAGAACTAGAATGTTCTCTCTCTAGCAGGTACCTGGCCTCTGATTTAGATTTTGCAGATAGAAAGAGAAGAAAGGAAATAAACTTGGGAGAAAAAAATCCATTGTGACAGTGGATACTCAGAGTTGTGAGTAGAAATCAGATAAGAAGAAATGGGTGCCTTATTGTTTGTTTGTTTGTTTGTTTTTAATCCTACTTCTCCCAATTTCTACTTCACAGTGGGAGCCACCGGGTATTTCATCCTATTATGTTTGTTCTCTGATCTACTCTAGCAATCAGAGAAGTATCTAGCAATAGTCACATCTGTGAAGAGAATACTTAAGATTAATTGAGCTTCTACTATGTGTCAACAATGACGTACGCATTTTCTCTGATAATCAGTGGGTATTATTATCACTATTTTACATAAAGTCATGTCTCTGACTCAGGATATAGACCTGCATGCTTTTGCAAAGGGAAAAAAAATCTGTCTAAGTATCTGAAAACCCTCTAACTTTGCAACCTTGAGGCTCTTCCCGTGGACCATCTGAATAAAAGTTCTTTAAATACGTTGTCCTATAGCCCACTGAAACCTAAAGGATTCAGAGGAAGGAAATGAGAGTGGTATCCTCATAAGGAAGAGCAACAAGAGAATTTCCAAAAGGCAGAGGGAGCCTGGGAGCCAGGGACAAAGAGCAGTTATACATGAGGCTTCCAGGGTAAGGGAACATGGAAGGAAGGGGACCGAGAAACACGTCAGTGGGAAGTCACTAGGGTCTGTGCAACCCCCATATGGGAAACCAATTTCCATTTTTGTCCATCTTTAGGGGGCTGTGGTGCAGCCCCATCCAGAGGCCAGGCACTGACTTGGTGAGGAGAACTTGGCGAGCTTCCAGGCAGTGGTTCTGGATCACTTCCCAATATTCGCTCGGCTGCAGAGGCAGTTTCCCCTCCAGTATTTCTGCTGTTCGCACAAACCTGAGGTCTTTAAATCTGCCAAAAGAGAGGGAGAAACCTCCTAAGCTGAAAAAGCCAATAATGAATTTTACAGGAAAAGTTCAAAGGGCAAATGCTCTTATTTTTCAATGAGAAGAAATTGAAGCAGAGTAAAACTCATTTTTTAATTTATGTACTGGAGATTTAACCCAGGGGTGTTTTACTACTGAGCTACAACCCCAGTCTTTTTTGTTTTGTATTTTGAGACAGGGTCTCACTAAGTTGCTTACAGCCTAAGTTTTTATTTTGAGACAGGGTCTCACTAAGTTGCTGAGACTGGTCTTGAACTTGAAATCCTCCTGCTTCAGCCTCCCAAGCTTCTGGGATTATAGACGTGTGCTACTGCACCTAGCAAAACTCATTATATCCTAAAAACCTGCAGCTCTAGTCTTTTGGCTAGTCCAAAAGAATTCTTGCAAAGAGGAGACCTATGAGTTCACTCAGCAGGTGGTTATGAGCCTTCTTATGCACCTCCCTCTGGGGAGTGGGGCTTTGGCACCAATGGTGTTTGGCTGGCTGGGAACTTGATTCAAAAACACTATCCAGGGGCTGGGACTGTGGCTCAGTGGTAGAGCGCTTGCCTAGCACATGCAAGGTCCTGGGTTCCATCCTCAGCACCACATAAAAATAAATAAGTAAAATAAAGATAGTGTCCAGTTACAACTAAAAAATTAAAACATTAAAAAAAAACAGTATCCAAAGTTCTTTGCAACAGAGAAAATGCAGAGGAGAGGGACAAGCACCATGTTCATCATCCAGTGGGCTTCACCCCAACCTCAGTATGGCCTCCAGGGTGACCTATTTAAGGCAATGCAGAGGACTGCCTTGATTGGAGCCACTGGGACAGTGAAGAAAGGCCCACCCAGGAGGAGACCTGAAGGTCTCTCCGCCATCAGGGGGGTCTTTTTGTTTTTCTTAAGTATATCTCCAATTTTTTTATTGATTCTTTTTAGTTATACATGACAGTAGAATCCACTTTGATAATATTATAGTTGCATGGAGTATGTCATTCTAACTAGGGCCCATCTGTGGATGTCCACGGGGGATTCACCACGGTTTACTCCTATATGTACTCGGGAAAGTTATCTCAGATTCTTGCCACGATCTTCCTCTTCCCTTCCCTTTCTTCCCCTTGGTCTAATCCTCTGAACTTTGGTTCTTCCTCTCCACCTTCTTATTGTGGGTTAGCTTCCACCTACTAGAGAAAACATTCATCAAGTGGCTCTTTCTAAAATCTAAGCCAGATCATGTCACTCTGCTTGAAACCCTCCAATGACTTCCCCTATCAAGCCAGAGTCCTTGACTAGGGCACATAAGGTCCTCCACAGCCTGTGCCTCTCTCCTACTCCCTCTCCTCCCCGTCACCTCGTCACCTCTCTGCCCTCCTCTCCGACCACCCTCCCCAACTCACCTGCTCTACACTCTTCCTAGGACCCCCGCCAGCATACTACCGCCTGGGTCCTTTGTAACAGGTTGCTCCTGCTGTCTGCAATTCTCACATCCCCAGGACCCAGAGGTCACAGAGGGATTAATTTACCCCAAATCACATAGTCCACCAGTGACCAAACAAGAACCAGAACCCCAGCAGTCTAGTTCCAGAGTGGATTCTATAAATTATTACTATACATTTCTGACTAGTCAGAAAATTAATTTTCTCTAACATCTCTAATATCTTAGAAAACTGAATTTTGTTCAGAAAAAGGGAATGTGGTTATTTCTTATCATTGGTGGGTTCTCCTAGATTAACTTCACCCTTGGTCCCCCCTCATTTTTTTTTCATACCAGGGATTGAACCCAGGGGTGCTTAAGTAAAAATGAGCTGGGTGCAGTAGCCCATGTCTCTAATTCCATGGGTTGCAATTTCAAGGCCAGCCTGGCAAATTCAGTGATGCCCTGTCATTTATTCATAAACAAATGAATAAACAGATAAATTTGTAAGAAAAGCATAAGAAAAACAAATAGGTTGTCCAAGAAACAAGGCTCTCTTCAGACTAAATGTGTTAAAGACTAAAGATCCTCAAAAAAAAAAAAAAAAAAAAAAAAAAGCATAGGATTTGCTGATAAGTTTAGCCAATCAAAATCAGGTCCACATATCTGCCTCTTATTTTTCTAACAAAGAACCCAGATGTTGGTAGTTAATCATTTCATTAGCCTGCCCTTTCAGTGAACTATCCTGCCAGGACTTGTACCCCTTCGTAAGGGGCCTAAAAAGAACTTCACAGTCTCCTCGTCCTCCTCCAGAACAATCAGTGAATGGATAAATGGAATCTGGCCATATTATGGATTATTATTCAGCCATAAAAAGGAATGTAGTACTGATATGAGCTTCTATGTACAGAAACATTGAAAACATTATGTTTAATGAAAGAAGTAGATGCAAAGGCCATATTTTGTATAATTCCACTTATAGAAAATATCCAGAATAGGCAAATCCACAGACTAGCAGTTGCCAGGGGCTGAGAGGAAGAGAAACTAGAGTGTGACTACTAACAGGTACAGGGTTTCTTTTGGGGTGATGAAAATATTCTTAAATTAATGGTGAGAATAGCACAAATTTGTGAATATACTAACAACTAACACATTGTGAACTTTTAAAGGGTGGATTTTAAGGAATGTGAATTACAGTTGGCATTCCATATCCGTGGGCTCTGCAGGCATAGATTCAACCAACCACAAATGGAAAACATTCCAGAAAAAAAAAATTGCTTCTGTACCAAACATGTACAGACATTTTTTCCTTGTATTATCTCCTTGTATATATATAGAATTTACTAGATATTATAAGTAATCCACAGATGATTCAAGTATGTGGAAAGTGTGTAGATTATATGCAAACACTATTGCCATCTTCTATAAGAGACCTGAATATCTGTTGATTGTGGTATCTGTGAGGGATCCTGGAACAAATCTCCTGTGAATAGAAAGTGACCACTGTATATCTCAATTTTTAAAAAAATGATTGAGAGAAAAAAATGTGAATCTCCCCCTCTCTTTATAGACTCCAGCAATTCCTGGGGCCAATTTAGTCACTGCTAAACAGAGCTGAGAAACCCTAGCTTGCTGGCTGTGTTCCATAAAGGAGACCCAAGCCCCTACACACCTCACAGAGGCAGATAAGCAAGCACACAATTACAATTCAGGGTGATAAGTGTCATGATGGAGCTTACGGTGAATCCATGCTTCCTGGGTACTTAGGTTATACCAGACACCGTGCAAGGCACTTTGCATGTATTCAGTGGTTTATTCTTCCTAGCAACCGTACAAAGTAGGAACTCTCAAACTTCAAGATAAGAAAAGGAAGACACAGAAATGATCTAGTACACACACATTCCCTATGAAACAGCAGAGCTAGGCTGTGAACCTGAGCTGGGACTGGCTCAAGGCATCTGCTCTTTAACCAAGTTCAGTGCACAGAGGCACTAGGTACTCCAGGAAGACAAAGGACGGCCACTTAACCCTGCATGTGGGGTTCTCAGTCACAGTTCATATGCACTTTTGGTCTAGGATTTTTCATCTTATTATTATTATTGTTGTTGTTGTTCGATTCATTTTGCTGCAGTCAGAGCAAAATGTCACTGTGCCCCACCTAAGAGGCTTGCTTCTATGTGGAAATAATGAAGAAAGGAGAGGACAGGAGGGGAGATACTTCTTACTCTTCAAACCACAGGTTCTTCAGGATGAGCATCATCGGGTTCACCGTGTGCAGGTGCTCCTCGTTCCACTTCTTGTTATTCCTGTAGGTGGCATGCCAGGGCACAGGGGCCCGGATCACTCTCTGAGGAAACACGCGTGGGATGCTGTCAATGAAGAGTCTTTTTTTCTCCAGTGGGTCCATGAGGATGTAATCAACTAGAACCAAGAGGGCAAACACCCTGTTATTAGGCAGGGACCTTGAACATCCCATGCTCCTAGCTTTAACAATGCAAATGAGCCTCTGTCCATTTACACTGGGAGATTCCCCTTTGTTTGCAAGGTCATAGGCCATCCTTGGCTATCACTCCGTTGGGGAAGCTCCACTCTGTTGGTATGTCTTTTCTTTCTGAAGGTATCTCATGGGAAGGAGAAGCACTTAAACCTGGGATTGAGTCCCATTAGGATCCCCAGCCATCTTGCGTGACAATGCACAAGCATGCTAATACCTACTTTATCGACAGTTGATTTCTGATATCAAGACACTTATCCCAAAATCAACAAATTGATCACACCAGTTACATACAAATGCCAACTTAGAGACCAGATGTTTCTAAGGCTAAGGAAGGATGGGTAAAAGCTTCCTAGAGAAGAAACACTAGTTCTGGATCCGAAAAAAGTGAACAGGAGTTTATTAGGAAGAGAAAGGAAGAGCATAAAGAGATGAAGTGCCATCTCTTTTAGGTCTGCTGAAGGTGCTGTGAGCTACGTATGCTGCAGCAGAAAGATCAGGTACAAGTGAGGAGGTTAGAGGTGATGCAAATGGAGGAGTAAATTGGAGTGAAGGACCTCATGTGTTTATTTTCAGGAGCTGGGTTCTGTATGATCATAGACAGGGGCCATTACACTGACACCATTAGAAAACTAGTTAGAAAATAAAAATAACCAAAGAAATTGGTAAAGAGAGAATAGAAAGGTGGAAAACTAACAGGATCACCCCTGTGGTTGGATGTGCTTCTCCCACTGCCCACCCATTACCAAATCCTTCCCACTGACCTACCACATGCACAAGACACTGGGCTAATGATAAGTTGAATGGGGATCAGTAGCACATCCATCTCCATCCAAGAGCTAACAGTCTGACACAGGAGACAAGACCCAGGAGAAATGAAATGACAGCCCCAGTGTGAAGTAGTAGTAGAGAAATAAAAGCACAGGAGAACTTGGAAGGGCAAATGAGTTGAAAGTAGGAACAAGAGGTGCTACGGGTGCAGAGAACAAAGGGACTATTGATGGTGGTAGGGAGAGAAAAAAAAAAACACTTGAGTGAAGAGGTAGGTCTTGAGCTGGGTTTTGAAGTCTGAATGCCCTCTTGCTACTCACACTATGGTCCCTGGTGAGTCCCACTGGGTCACCTGGGAGCTTGTTAGAGATGCAAGATCTTGGCTCCATCCCAGAGGCTGATCTCCTGAGTCAGAATCTGCCTTTTATCCCCAGTTTCTGTGAATGCACACTGATGGTGTGGCCATCGGTGTTGGTGGCGGGGGTGAGGGGACATTTGAATTAAAGGTAAACTCATGTTTTAGGCACATTCAGTGGAACTAGGTGGCAAATAATAAAGTGAGGGGAAAGCTGATGCCAGTTTATCCTTACCAATGCTTTTCTTTTTTTATTAATTTTTAAATTTATATATGACAGCGGAATGCATTACAATTCTTATTGCACATATACAGCACAATTTTTCATATCTCTGGTTATAAACAAAGTATATTCACACCAATTTGTGTCTTTATACATGCACTTTGGATAATAATGTCCATCACATTTCACCATTATTTCTAACCCCATGCCCCCTCCCTTCCCCTCCCACCCCTCTACCCTATTTAGAGTTCATCTATTCCTCCCTGGCTCCCCCTCTCTACCCCACTGTGAATCAGCCTCCTTATATCAGAGAAAACATTCAGTATTTGGTTTTGGGGGATTAGCTAACTTCACTTAGCATTATCTTCTCTAACTTCATCCATTTACCAGCAAATGCCATTGTGTGTGTGTGTGTGTGTGTGTGTGTGTGTGTGACATTTTTTTTTATCCATTCATCTATTGAAGGGCATCTAGGTTGGTTCCACAGTTTAAAGCAAGAATCAATAAATGGGATGGACTCAGACTAAAAAGTTTCTTCTCAGCAAAAGAAACAATCAGTGAGGTAAATGGAGAGCCTACATCTTGGGAGGAAATCTTTACCCCTCACACATCAGATAGAGCACTAATCTCTAGGGTATATAAAGAACTCAAAAAGCTAAGCACCAAAAAAACCAAATAACCCAATCAATAAATGGGCCAAGGACCTAAACAGACACTTCTCAGAAGATGATACACAATCAATCAAAAATATATAAAAAAATGTTCAACATTGCTAGCAATTAGAGAAAGGCAAATCAAAACTACTCTAAGATATCATCTTACTCCAGTCAGAATGGCAGCTGTTATGCATACAAGCAACAATAAGTGTTGGCGAGGATGTGGCGGAAAAGGTACACTCACACTTTGCTGGTGGGACTGCAAATTGGTGCAACCAATATGGAAAGCAGTATGGAGATTCCTTGGAAAACTGGGAATGGAATCACCATTTGACCCAGCTATCCTTCTCCTCGGTCTATACCCAAAGGACTTAAAAACAGCATACTACGGGACACAGCCACATCAATGTTGATAGCAGCACAACTTACCAATGCTTTTCATGAGGCTACTGTAATAGTCGTTTTCCTTCTCTTCCTCAAGGGTGACCAGCAGCGGTACCAGGGAGGGATTTGTCAACAACGCAGTAGAAATCAGCTTTGAAATCCGAACCATCACTTCATTCTCTTGGGGTGTAATCATGTCTTTTTGGATTCCATTAGTCAAATAGTAACAGTATCTCTTTCATGAACAAGATATCAGCAAGAAAAACGTCATGATTGAGTAAGTGTGCCAATCTGTCCCACCCATCACCTGCCAAGGGACCCTGTTCATGCAGTACCCAACTCCACTCTTCATTTGCTACGATCCTTCTTTCTGGCCTGGCACATTTTTGCAACAAGATCACTGGCAAGTTTTTCCCATAGCTCTGGAAGATTCAACCAAAGCCAGAGAGATTTCACTAGGGGCAATAATGAAGGACTTGTCAATGCCTTGCTTAGTATACACTAAGTGACTTTTAAAAAGAGGAATGACAAAATCCGAAAATGACTCAAATAATTCACCCTCCTGAACAACAAAGATCCTCTACAAAGCACTTTAATCCCATGGCTTGTAGTTGTCAGTGAGGAAAATATCCCCAAAGTCCTTAGGATGTTTCCCCTCCCCCTGTAATCCAACTGTGGGCTTTTGAATTTAAAAATCATAAACACAAAAACTAAATAAAAATGCTTGATGTGACCTGGGGACTTCAGGAGGTTGTTTATGTAGGGTTTTTCCCTAAATTGCTGGTAGCTTTGAGGAGGAATAATTTCAGATGAACAAGAGGCACAAAGTTTGGACAAGAGGTGTCATGGTTTGGATCTGGAATGTCCACAGGCTCAGGTATTAGAAAATAGAGAGGTGAAAAGATTGGATCAAGAGGGCTCTGACCTAATCAGTAGATTAATACATTTAATGGATTAATATGTTGAATGGATTTACTGTGCACTGGTGAAAACAACAGGCAAGTGGAGCATGGCGGGAGGAAGTATGGCCCAGGCCATGGCCTCTCTGTCCCTGACCCTCTCCTGTCTCTCTCTCTTTCTGCTTCCCGGCTGCTAGGAGCTGAGTGGTTTGCTCTACCATGCCTGTCTGCCATCATGTGCAGCTTTCCTCAAGTAATGGAGTCAGCCGACCAGGGACTGAGACCTCTAAAACTGTGAGCCAGAATTAGCTTTCCCTCCTCTAAGTTGTTCTTGTCAAAGCTATGAAACACTAACACAGGAGGTTTCAGCCTCAACCCACTTGCAGCCCACTTCTTTCCAACCTTAATGGTAGCAGCTTATACAGGACACTCCTTGACTTATAATGACGAATCTAAGTTGAAAATGTATTTACTACACCTAACCTAACAAACACTCTAGCTTAGCAACACAGCACACTGTGGATATTGCTTGTATCCTCTCATGATTGTGTGGATATCTGGGAGCTACAGTTCACTGCCACTGCCACGTACAACAAGAGAGTGTCATGATGCATATGTATAGCCCAGGAAAAGATCAAATTTCACAATTAGAAGTAGAGGTTCTACTAAATGTGTATCACTTTCACACCATTGTGAAGTCAAAAAATCCTGAAACAAACCATCCTAAAGCTCATCTGCAAAGGACAGTAGTGCCAAACTTCCCTGACTTTAAGAACCACCTAGGTTGGCAGCAGCAAGTAGGGTAATGTTAAAATGAAGCTAACCAGGCCCTCCTCAGGTAGTTAGGGAGGTTTAACAAGCACCTAGGTGAGTCCTATCTTCAGGCAAGTTTAAGAATCGTTGCATAACTCTTTAAGAGCACAGAGACTTGGGAACAGCCAAATCTAGATTTGTCTCTTACTGGGTAACCTTGAGCAAGTTGCTCCATCAGTCTCCACCCCAATTTCCACACCTGGATGATGGGGATAATCATGGTACCAGGTGTCTAGTGGTTTCACGAAGCTAAAGGGTCTAGCATGGAATTTTGACAATTGCATATACCTAGTTGCTGTGGGGTTCTATTATCAATTATTTTATTACATACTATAAAACCACAAGCTGTTTGTGCTAAAGCTTTGGTCTTTTAAGAAAAGGGTTGGAAACTCAAACGTCCACCTGGAGCCAGGCAGGTAATGCTAATGAATGAAAGTTGGGTGGACATAAGAGTAGAGACTGGTGAGGACGAGGACCAGTTAGAGAATTTATTTCTCATTTAAGGGAGGAAGTTAACCAGCTCAACTACAAATATTTTAAATTTTTTAAAAAGAGATTGGAAACCTAGCTTAGGTGAGTTTTCCCTCATTTTCAAAATACATCCATAGGCCACATTCAGCTTATGATAGGGTTGTCAGGGGAAAAAAAAAAGGACATATTGGGATATGATGATACTAAAAAACTACTCATTATTTATCTGAAATTAAAATTTGACTGGGTGTCCTGTTTCTTGTTCTGCAAAATCAGATAACTCTAGCTTATGGTTCACCTATGTTCTAAGAGAATCCAAGGGCACCAATTTCTAAGACTTAGTAGGTCAGAGTACTCTCTTTCTATATTTCTCTCAGTCTCTCTCTTTTGCTGTTTCTCTCTCTCTCTCTCTCTCTCTCTCTCACACACACACACACACACACACACACACACACACACAGTCATTCAGGTCTATCATGTGGTTTGGACCAGTTTGAATCCCTCAGATGCCAAGAACAACATTTAGCAAACTGAGGGAAAAGGGCCAGAAAGAACCTACCTCCATGTCTAATTCAGATGGTTTTTTCTCTTTACTTTCTATTTCCATCTCCTGCTGCAACATCACATCAATCTGCTGTTCTGGACTCATTGGTCTGCTTCCAGGGAGGCTGACAGCTGTGTCCTCCTCCTTCTTCATGGATGAGTATGTGGAGCAGGGCGACTTGGTCCTGGAAAATAGAAACAGCTCAGCCCTTGGTACTCCACAGAGAAACTATGGCATTGGACCCACTTCCTCCAATCTAGTGAGTGTGGTTCGGTAACAGAAGACTCTTTCCTCTGTATCATCTAATGGCATGTGTGTGTGCTTCAAAGATGACCCCAACCACTGAACACCACGAAGATATGTCACACTGCTCTTGCTCAGTTGGTTAATTTATTTTCACTAAGAACCTGAAAGTTTTGAATTAAGGCAGTTGGTGAGAAAAAAACTAAGTTGCTGGGTGAGTGGGAATGCTTTGAAACCAAGAAGCAGAGTGTGGCTTTAATGAGACCACAATCTTCTTAGGTTCAGCCCAGTGGCCTTCCCTCTCTGTTGTCCACAGTGATACCTTACCCAGTAAAATCCTCTTTGTCTTTGAGACAGAACTTCATTCTCTTCTTGTTGGGCTCTGATGAGCTTTTGGTTGCTGCAAGACATCAGTGAAGAAAAGAAAGACATCAGGAGTAGGCAGTGGTTTGGGGCCATTCTCTGTCCACAGGGATATAACTCTTAGGACAGCCCAGGAGCACACTAAGGGGAATGGACAGAGTGTGGGGCACCAGAGAGGAGAGGTGGGCTCTGCTCCCACATGTATCACTAATTACTTGTGCTACCTGAAGGAAGTGATCTTCTCACTCCAGGCCTCAGCTTCCCCAGCTGTAAAACGGGGTTAAGCATACCTCCCACTCACTCAGCTATGCATTCCACAACTATTGATGACTGCCTACTCAATTGGCTCCCAACAACGTATGCTCCAATTTCTAAGCATCAGTTGTATTATTATTTAATATTTCTCTTTAAATAGATTCAGGCTTTTAAACTTAGTACATTTATTTTTAGAGGAAATTTTATATGATCACAAGTAGGAAAAAAAAGTATCATTTGTAACAAGTATATAATAATTACAAACAGAAAACAGTATCATTTGCAATAAATAGAAGGTAACTATGAATAAAATCAATGTTATAAAATAAATTTTATATCAAACTCATCATTAAATTTAGTAATATCAATTATAAATATTAAATTCAATAGTATCCATGGAGGTATTATTAATCTTAAGTTAATATTTATTAAATTATTATTTATTGAATATTAAATTTAATCATATTGTTAAATTATTATTATGTTATATACTAAATAGTATTACTTGCTAAAGGCTTTAGCCCAAAGAAATTGATAATTAATAAAAAAAAGTTAAACACATACTAATATTAAATTGACACTTGGAGGAAACCAAGAGAATTGAAGACTCCCAGTTAAGATGTATTTTGAGTTCACATTTTGAGCTTCTTAATATTCTCTAAACACAATAATAGACAAAATATTCTTTGCATTTGTTTACATATTTGTTTGCTTTTTGCAGTGCTAGGATTGAAGCCAGGGCCTTGAGCACACCAGGCAGGTGTTCTACCACTGCTCCACATCCCCAGCCCGACACCCACAATGCTGGAACCTAGAACCAGAAACCAGGACTGAAGCAAGGCTGTAAAGAGAGCAACACTGCCACACAGAAAAAGCACATGTGTCATCGGTTCATATGGCAGCTAGACGTGACTCAGAAAGGTTCACCGGGCCTCAGAGACCAGATCTATAACATCCCTGAGTATCACCTTAGGAAGGGAGCCTCAGCATCAGTGTATGACAGTGGGGACAACATGGGGTCCTGAAAGGCCAGATGGAGACACAGGAAAAAAATTAGATTAAGAAGAATTCATCAAAATAGTCCACACTACATGACTGCATTTACATGTGAGAACAAGAAAAACTTATCTGTGGTGACCGAATTAGGAGCTGGTTACTCTGGGGTGGGATGGTGTGAGGTAAGGGAGAGATTTGATTAGAAAGAGGCACAAATGAACTGTCTCTAGTGATGGTACTTCTCTATATCATGTTTGGGTGGCACTTAGATATATGTTATAAACATATAGATGTGTTATATATATGTTATAAACAATTGTCAAATACCACTGAACTCAACATTTAAGATCTGCATGTATTATTGTCTGTAAATTATAACTCAATAAAAAAATAGAGGGAAGCATGCAGCAAGAAGGTTGGAAAGCCTTTCAACATAGGCCTGCAAACTAAAATCTCAGTACACATGAGAAAAAACAATACCAAGAAAGATAGCCAATAAACTCAACAGTCGAGGGAAAGATGAACACAATGGAAATAATGCAGCTATACAAATACTGTTTCAAAACAAATATTGAACATCCTCCAAATACAAATATCCTTTAATGAATAATAAGCATAATTCAACTCAAACAAGAACTTGAATGACAGATACTTATCAATTTCTGTCTTGCTGGCTGTCTGTTTTGCAGAAAGCATGTTAGCAGTTCATCCTCAAGACTCTGACTAGGCTGAAAATTTTTTGTGACAATTAAATCTGGGAGGTATTAGCACTAATTATTCATAGATAAAAAATTTTTCAAAATACACAATGGGAAAATATAATTATTACAATAATTACTATTTAAGAAAAGTGTTAAATGATGACCATTTAGACTGAATGCTTCTGCTGAAACAATATCCTGGTATTTGAAGGTAAGGTCTTTGGGAGTTAGTGCCCTTATAAGAGAACCCAGAGAGAACACAGTCATCTCTGAACCAAGAATAGGCCTTCATTAGAAAATGAATCTGCTGATACCTTGATCTTAGACTTCCCAGCTTTCAGAATCATGAGAAACAAATTTCTGTTGTTTGTAAGCTACCCGGTCTATGGTACTTTGTTATGGCAGCTTGAACAAATAATGACCATGATATTAGTAATTATAACATCAAACTTAAGTTTCCAGGTATAATGATCTTGAATACTTTGGTATTTAATTGGTATTTAATGTTTTCTGTGTATCCTTAAAGCAGAAGCATGCAAAGATAGCATCATAGAGATGTGCATATATATTTAATAAACAAATTCTGAAAGGGTTATGACCATAAGAATAGAATAAGAAATTAGGAGAAACCATACATATAACCCATTAGAAAGTATGAAAATGAAAAAAATACTGTTGTGAAATAATAAACACTTATGAGACATGATAAAATAAAGATAGAGCAGAGTTGAAGAGAAAATTAGTAAAATAGAAGATATAATAAAGGAATTCACTTAGCACAGGAAGAAAAATTTTAGAAAATGAGAATTTGAGACAGAATCGATTGAGTGGCTCCAAAGTACATATAACAAAAATAAAATTACTAAAGCATATCCTTAATCAGATATATGGGTACTTGGTGAGATAAAATAAATTAATATCTGTAAGGCACTATGGTAAACAGCTTCCAAGATGGCCCCCAAGGATCTCTATTTCTTGGTACCATGCTTTCGTATAATCCCCTTCTCTTGAGTATGGGCTAGTCTAGTGATTCATTTTTAACAAATAAAATGTTAGAAAATGATGGAATGTCATTTGGAAGATTAAGTTTTTGGAAACAGCATGATTTCTGTCTTGTTGGCTCTGTCTTGCTTTCCCCTTCACTCACTTCAAGGGCTGCCAGAAGCCATGCTACTGACTGTCCTATGGAGAGGTCCACATGGTGAGAAACTGGTGTCTATGGCCAACAGCCAACAATGATATAAGGATATGAATGAGTTTTTAGTTGCTTTTAGATGACAGTGGCCCTGGCTGACATCTTGACTGCATGCTCATGAGACCCTGAGCCAGAACTACCCAGTTAAACCAGGCCCAAATTCATGACCTGCAGAAATTGTGAAATGATAAATACTGGTTGCTTTAAGTCATGACATTTCTTGATAATGTCTGATGCAGCACTCATGGTACGAATACATAGAACGGTGCCTGGTATATGCAAATGATCCATTAATGTGAGTCATGAGAATAATTTCCATTTCATAGATGAGGAGGGTTTGGCTCTATGAAGTTATTCAAAATTAGCTGAAGAAGAGGTAGTAAAGCCAGAACTAGAACCTAGGAGTAGAAGTTCCACTGAAAAGCTCCATTCTACACAAAACATTGCACACTGCCACAAGTACCTGATGGCAGCCCCAGACTAGCCCTGTTCCTAGGGATACTAATGTTGACTGGCTGATAGACCTTCAGCAGGTCTTTCATCTTCAGGTCTTGGGCCATCAAGGAATAGTTGTTGGCAATGGAGTCGCTGGGTCCACGGTGGTGGTTCTGCTCTTTGAAGGGCACAGCCCGGGTCCATGATGTGCGTTGCATCAATGGGGGATAAAAGCTGTGCGACATGACAGTCTAAAAGAGAAGCAATGCAAAGCAAGACTTGATCAGAGACATCTCCCATGAGCCTGAGCTCTGTTCAGATGAAACAGAGTTTCACACCCTTTATGCTATGCTTCTCCACACAGCACTTAGTGGAAATATTTTCTGAATAGACACCAATTGCAACTCTCTGACTACTGTAAGCATGATTTCTAAGGCTAAGGCTAACTGCTGGCATTCAACAATAACTTTGTGAGTCAGGTGATTTGCATCTCTTGCTTTTATTTCTTATGGACATGACTATAAGAGAGGAAGAATGACCCTCCTTTTACAATGGAAGATGGAGTAGTTCGGAGAGTTTCAATTAGACAGCAGGTTAATGGGAAAGCCAGATTCTAACTCCCCTACATACAACTGTGTGGCTCTTTCTCATAACCAAAGCCACTAAACCCATTTGTCAAGTCAGACTGTTTGTCCCCTACCAGCACCTACTGAATACCAACAGAAGGTATTCAGCAAGTTCTTTACCTTGCTACCCTCAACAGCAGGTCTGGCAGCCAGGGGCACATACCTGATAGAGTTCAGAAGGTTCCTCATTGGCTGAGGCAGGCAGCGGGGGCAGTTCTGGGCGTCCCTGGGAGTGGCTCATGTGATGTATGGAGTCACTCCTGGAGAACTGTGGAGAATGGGAACAAAGGCACTTGTCAGGAATTAGGAGAATTTTTCCAAGCCCCTGAAGGGTTAAGGACTAGTTAAGGATTAAATAAATCCCCAGGAAAGATTTTAGGCACACAGTTCTGCCTGCAGAACACCCTTTCCACCCTCATTTATTAAATATATTTATTTTTTTAGCATCAGTTTGTCTATCCCTCTGGTGTCTCTTCCTTGGTTTTCCCTCTATGAACTGATTTGGATAACCCCCGCCCCCTTAGGAAAAGCCCAGATTCTGAGGGTGCCCCAAGATACCCTATTCTTGGTAAAAAGGGGGATCACTTTAAAAAACTGACTCTTGTATTTCATATACACAAAGTTCCAAAGAGAAACCTGCTCAGGGCAGTAGCATTGCATGTTATATGTATTTTAACATACACACAAGCAACACTGTGCTACTTTTAAAAAGCCTGAGTGTGTAAGTCCTCCATTTCATCACATTGTGGAGACTTGGGAATGAGCCTTAGGTAGGTGTGAATGTGTGTCTTCCAGTCACTCTCAGTTTCCAAGTACCTCTCCACCTCTTCTGAACAGAGGTGAAGGTGACAGTACTGTTGAATAGTATTCATATGTGTTTTTGTCTTAAGACTCAATCCTTTGAGGCACAGTGGCACATGCCTGTAATACCAGCAGCTCTGGAGGGTGAGACAGGAGAATCACAAGTTCAAAGTCAGCCCCAGCTACTTAGCCAGACCCTAAGTAACTTGGCAAGACCCCGTTTCAAAAAATAAAACGGGCTGGGGATGTGGCTCAGTGGTAAAGTGTCCCTGGGTTCAATTTTCAGCTTAAAAAAAGAAAAGACTCATTCCCCATATGTAAGACAACTATTTAATTTGGGGCTGTGACAGAGAAGTTGCAATTTGTTGCAACACTGGAGAAAAAAACTATTGGCCTAGATCTATGGGGAGGTGTTTCTATATAGCAGTTTAAAGATGGTTTGGAGGAATATCAAGGGGAAAATATTGGCTCTTTGATTTTGACCTTAGGCAATGACTTTGGACTTAACTCTTCTGTAAGATGAGACATTATTATATAGATTTTATTTATTTGGAAATTATATTAAATATAATTTGAAAATTATGCTAAGCAACTCATTGGTGAGGGGTAGGGTGGATGTGGCATTTGACTCATTATTATCAATGCCTCCCACCATGCCTCAATAAACCCCTCCCTGCTGATTCAAGATAATATCCATTATCTCCCCTGAAGTACCTACCTCATTAAATAATAGTAGTAGCAATAATTTCTAGCATGATTCCAAATTATTATGTGCCAGGCATTGTACAACCTTATGAGATTTCTTATACCCATATTCTAGCTGATGAAACTAAGGCCCAGGGATGACAGGTAATACATCTCAGCCACAAAAGAGGCACACTTGCCTACCATGGTGACTTTTAAATACACACCACTCTGCACCACAACACATTGGAAATGGCAAGTATCACATGGATCTTAAAATTAAAGGAAAACACGCAAGCCCATAAACAAAGATGGATTGGGATTCTTAAGAACATGCAATGGGTTCATTGTTCTCATGGCCTAATTTGGTGATTCTCAAAAATGGTGGCATATTAGGTACACCAAAGTACCTTTATTAAGATCAGGGATGCTTCATCTTTATATGATGTGTTTGAGAACCACTGACCCTGATTTTTTTATCTTACAAAACTTATGTTGATTTAAATCACTGTCTCTGCCTTTCTGCTCTTGACCTCAATCTCCAGGATCTGAGAACTGACAGGTCATCACCAGGAGTTCCCTCTTCCATTACTGGGTTTAAAGCCACATCTATATTGATGAAGTGAACAAAATGGAAATTTCCAGCATCAATCAGAAAGGAATATGGTCAACCAAAGCAGGTACCGTACCATCCAAGGAAGATATTGGCAGCAGTACTTTCAGGGATATGAAGTCATTCATTATTTCTTTCAGGATCCCAGGCGGAAGACATGTATCAATTGATAAGTTAGTGCTGTCTGTATTGTGTTTTGCAAGCAAGAAGGTTCTGTGGTCAGTGGAAATCTTTCCTTTGGCCTAGCTTTTTAAATCTGTTTCAAATAAAAATCTTCATTAAAAGAGAAATGAGCAAACACCACAAAATTGGAACACCTGAAGAAAGTACAGCAAGAGTGAGAATGAATAATTAAAACCAAAAATCTCTGACCTTCTGCAGTCAAGGAGAATGGTGACATTTTTGGGGAGGTGGTCTTGGCATTTGTGTTTCTGCTCAGTGTGAGAAAAATCTGATTTCAGCCCTAACACCATTTGGGAAGTTACTCTTCCCACCAAAAGAGGTAAACTATAGCCCTAGTGGGCATAACCAGCTCTACTCTCATTTCAGTCCATGTTATAATATGTGGCTGATCCCAGCCCCTGGCTCCAGGAAAAGGCACAATCAGACTACTCTGGCCTCCTGGGCACAGTCACTGGTTCAGGGAGAAGCACAAGACCCAAGCTGGGTTGACAAAAGTATTTCCTGATACTTTTGCTAGAGCTATTGAGAAAGAAGTACACTCTCTCTTCATTAAAGTCGTTGTCAGGATGTTTTTGACTCGAGTTTCTGATAGTCATCTTTGTCTAACATGGGGAAAAGTCTCCCTTGGATTAAGGCCAACATAGAAGCAAGCAGAGTTCCCCAAAAGAGAAGAGAGTTTCAATGACATCAACAGGAACCCTGGATTCAACTTGTATTTCTTGGTTACTTAAGCTCATACATTCTTTTTGGTTTGAGGCATGATGAATTATATTTATGTACCTCCATATTGAGAAATGATCATCCAAGTGATAAAAATGGAAATAGCTGAGTCAATAAAAGATGATTAGAGGAGAGAACAGAGATACCTAGCCATGCAAAAGATAAGCCATACTTGGGATAATGAAGAAAGGAAACGAGCATTCTGTAGAACACAACAGAAGCTCTTCAGAAACAAATTCAACTCTGAGCTAGTTCACAGACATAGACTAAGACTTACACACAAAGAGTCAAAAATACCCTGATAACAGAAAACATCTCAATCCATGGGACAGGAATAGATGGAACACTTGCAAGATCAGCAAATTTAGAAATCAATTCCAGAACAAAGGGAGGTTTCTTGACTGGCTAAGAATTCTCTATGGTACCTTTAAGGGGAAAAGATAGGAGGTTTTTGTAAGAACTATCTGGCTATGTGAAGTGTTTATTAAAAAATTATGATTACTCAAGTCTCTTCTTTGTGGTGCACACCTATTATCCCAACAACTCAGGAAGCTGAGACAGGAGGATGGCAAGTTTGAGGCCAGCCTCAGCAAATTAGCAAGGCCCTAAGCAATTTAGTGAGACTTTGTCTCAAAATAAAAAATAAAAAGGTCTGGGGATGTAGCTCAGTGGTAAAGTGCCCGTGGGTTCAGTCCTCAATATCTTAAAAAATAAAAAAAAAAGTCTTTTCTTTGGTCAATGTGAGAACCTTTCATTTTATAGCATGGGCTTCGGTATTATCAGCAAATCTACTTTAATTTTTATAAATTAAATGGCAACCCAGTGGATCTTGACTTCTACAACCAAGATTCTGACATGTAACTTGGGTAGAACTAGATGGCTTATTTCTAGTTAGCCGTGATATTTGCATGTCCTCATGTCCTTCTGGAGGCAGTTCCCAAATGCTCAGCCAAGAATCTGTTACACCAGAACCACTTGGGTCTTAAGCTAAACATAGATTATGTCATAGCCCCACTCCAAATCTTCTGGATTAGAATCTTTGTGGGGTGGGAACCAAGACTCTGTTTTTAAGATATGCCCCAGAAGTTTGGGAACTGCTGGGATTGAAAACTCTTGGTTGAAATATATGGTGTAATGACCCTTGAAGGATAGGAAAAGATATCTACTGCTAATATTTTCACAGTGAAACCTAAGTATTTCCAAAACTCTAATTCATCAAAAATCATGTTTCAAAGTGTACACCATGGAAATGCAATTAACACCCTTGATAGATCAAGGGTACCTAATGTGCCCCTGGTCTATGAGCCAAACATCCCTCTTTCCACGTGTTCTCTGATTCCCTTCATGTTGAGGATACATGCCTTAAAATTCACACCTACCTTCTGAGAGTAATCCGTGTTGCTCATGGTGTCCACTTTAATTGTACCTATTTGAAAAATGAATAAAGAGCTCTTGGCTTCTCCAGGGATGCTCCTCAACTATCTAATCGCCTGAAATCCACAATTCATTATAGCATAATGGGGATGACACAGACAATGGAACTTTCTGGATGTCCTGAAAGCTCCATTCACAGGGCTGCCTCTCTGAGGTCATACACTTCCCTGAGGAGTTTCCTGGTAGAAGAGGAGAGGAAGAGGAGCTAGAGAATGAAGGGGCAACACTGGGGTTCTTCTGGGTTTTTTGCTTCAGTTCCTATTCCTTGTAACAGTCGCTCCTCCTTTCCCTGAGCAGGTCTTCTCTTGGAACTCTTCTGGGAACACACCAAGGTTCCTGTAGAGGAAAAAATGGAAGCAGAATTAGATATTAATATAGAGAAGAGGGAGGTCTCACTTTCCCAAACAACACCCCTTGCAGCTGGGCTATTTCCCTCTGCCTCCTTCTGGAGCAGTTCTAACTCTGGTGGATCCTGTACCCAGCCCCAGGGCCAGTAACCAGGCACCAGCGTCTGTTGCTAAGGGAAGGAGGGGCCTCTGCTATGCCTACATACAAGACTGGGCTTGACCTAGCTCCTTGTCCTGCAGACTCCCTTTGCTGGAAGCTCAGCTGGGCAGCAGGAAGTGTTGATAGCAGAAGGGACAGTGGGAAGGTATTTAGCAATGGCTCAGGAATGCAGAGGTGTGGCAGAAAAAGAAGATGCCTTTGAATAGGTCTGAAAGCACTGACAGGAGGCTTCTGTTCTTGGGATCTACAGCTGGATAGGACTGGCTCAGATTTTGCTCTCCCCATTAATTAGCCATGGCTTGAGCAAATTACTTCATCTCTTCAAGTGGACTTTTCATTTGCAATAAGACAATAATGTGTTGAAGGTTTAATGAAATAATTCATATATGACAATTTGGACATATTAAAAAGATAGCCAGTCTATCCCAGTTTGGCTAGAACTTTCCCAGTTTCAACACTGTAAGTCCTGCATCCTGGGAATCTTTTCAGTCCTGAGACAGTTTGGTCTCTGATACAATAAGCCTTCTAAAAATATTGCAGCTAACATCAATAGTATCATAAATGTAAGCACACATCTATGCAAGTGCTAAGATTAGCGGCTGCCCAAATATTCAAAGCATTTCTTACAAGGCTGCTTTTTACAGTCCTCTCAAAACCAAACTGGACTTTTGTTTTCAATCTTCAGTTTTCCCCCAAACCCCATAATGTTCCCATTTTAAGGACAAGGAATCCAAAACAGAGAGGTGCATAACTCTCTCCAGTTGGCATGACTCATAAGCAATGCTGATAAAATCTGAATCCTGTCCTGATGACTCCAAGTCCAGTGCTCTTTCCTTGAGAAACTTTCCAGAACACAAACATTTCTGAGTTCCTTTGGAGAGCACTACATAGCACTAAGTACTTCCATTTCTTCTTTTTCTCACTGTACCCTCAAAATTGGACTCTCTACACTTCCAAAATAACCTAAGCTTCCTCATCTCTCACATGTTTCTATTTTCTACCATAAAATGTAAAAATCAGCCCTCTGTATCTGTGGGTTCCACATCTGGGGTTCAACCACTTGTGGATTAAAAATATTCAAGAAACAAAATGTGTTTGTTGTTTGTACTGAACGTGTACAGTCTTTCTTTTATCATTATTTCCTAAACAATTTAGTATAACAATTACGCAGGACTTACATTATAATTGGGTATTTTAAGTAATGTATAAAAGATTTAAAGTGTACAGGAGGATATGTGTAAGTTAAATGCAAATACTATACCATTTAATATAAGAGAGTTGAATATCCAAGGATTTTGGTATCTACAAGGAGTCCTGAAATCAATCCCTTGTGGATAGTGAGAGATAACTGAATACAGGTTTTAAATAGTATTTGGAATAAAAGAGCCAGTGGAAGGTTTCGAGACTTTGGCTTAGACATAAATGGGACATTTATATTTAGACATTATCATCAGGCTTCCTGTACTGCATGTGAAACCTCATATCCAAGGAAGTGAAGAATTAGAAAGGACCTGGTTCAGGGTTAATGAGACATATGACCTTGTGTGTGAGCAGGAGACAAGCTTCCATCTGAAATTTAATGTGCTTGAAAAACTAGCTGTGTTCAAAACCATCAAACCAATATGATATAATCATAATAACAATATTACTATATATGTATGTCTGTCATCTGACTTATCTTTCTTTTCAGTAATTTCCAAGAGGGCTGGGGATGTGGCTCAAGTGGTAGCGCGCTCACCTGGCATGGGTGTGGCCCGGGTTCGATCCTCAGCACCATATACAAACAAAGATGTTGTGTCTGCCGATAACTAAAAAATAAATATTAAAATTCTCTCTCTCTCTCTCTCTCTCTTTAAAAAAATAATAATTTCCAAGAGAGGATGAAGGCCTCAAGATCTTCAATCCCCTCAATTCCAAGTGCCTAGGTTTGCCAGATAAAAGCACAGGATGCACGGTTAAATCAGAATTTCAGGTAAACAATTTCTCAGGATAAGTATGTCTCATTCAATATTTGGGTGATACTTATATCAAAAAGTTATCTGTTGTTTACCTGAAATTGAAATTTAACTGAGTGTCCTATTTATATTTGCTAAGTCTGCTAACCTGGGAGGAGAGTTCAGTCAGGTCCACAGTTGGTTCTGTCTCTGTGGTACTAACAGTTTAGAGGCTCAATCTGTTGCTGGGGAATTTTCATACATGCCTTATTCAGAGCCAAGTGTTCCTGGTAGATCTTTTCTGAGACCTGAAATTATTGCTTAACTACAGCCAAGTGTCTTAGTCCACTAGGGCTTCTAGAACAAAGTGCCATAGACTAGGTGGCTTATAAACAACATAAATTTACTTCTCTCAGTTCTGGAGGCTAGGAGGCCAAGCTCTGGGTGTCAGCATGGTGGTGTTTGGGGGTGGGCCAGGAGGGGGATTGTTCCTGTGAGAAGCCCTCCTTCCAGGTTGCCGACTGTCAACTTCTTGTATCTTCTTTTTCTCATGGCAGAAAGAGGCAATAGAGATCTCAGGGGGTCCTTTTATAAGGACACTAATGCCATTCATAAGAGCTTCAATTTCATGAGCTAAATAATGTCCCCACTTCCTAATCCATCACATGGGACAAAGGACTTCACCATGTGAAACTGGGAGGAACACATTTAGTTCGCTGCAGCAAGTTATTGTGGAAAGGAATAGGGAAGGCTGCAAGTGGACTTTTAAAATTGATCCATTAAATGTTCATCAAAAGCCAAGACCTGATGCTATGGGAAGATGCTGGATCCACAGCATTGACAAAAATGCCAAAGGTGGGAGGAATTCGAGGATTCACAGAGGTGCCCCTAGATGGCGCCATAAATACAAAGCCCAGTGGAAGCCCAATTCAGCTTTCCAGTGTGAGGTCCACCCAGAGAGTGAGGATCACAAGGCCTTAGTGAAAAAATAAATGAATCTTTTCCTGGGTGGGGAACCCATCAAATTACAGCTGAGCAAAGTACACAAAGCCAGCAAAATAGCCTGAAACTTAACAATTTAGGGATAGACACTTGTCTATCCCAAGGTCTCCTATGTCCTCTGTTAGCTTCCCTTTTCTTTTGTTATGGAAGACATAGAGCAGGATCCCTTGGTTTATCTTTACCACCACCACCATCATCATTCCTAAATTTATTTCCCTATCTATCTGCCTAGTTATTTTTAGAAATATAAGGTGGTAGAAGTAATTACACACTTGAATATTTTTGAAGCTCTACTATGTGCCCAATAGTGGCTACGTTCTTGACAGCCATTGTTAGCAGTCCTCACTAGAACCTCTCTTTATGTGACCTCTCTTTATCTTATGGGTTGTTTTCCAGGTGGAGATAGACACAGGCCACAGAAAAGAAATGTCTACCAGGTCCTTGGAAAGAAAGAGCCTGAAAATTATTCAGTAGCAACTAGCGCCTGGGTTTTATGGATGAAAAAGAGTTAACTCCTCCCAAGTAGCACAGTAAGAAACAGCCATGGGGCCACAGCCCAGGACTGCTGGACCTCAGCCTATGGTCTTTAGTCCTATGCTCAATGACAGTGACTCTCAAACTAGAATGATTTTCTCCTGCTTACACCCCACCCGTTAGGGTCATTTTTGGTTGTCACGGCTGAAGGGGGGGGGGGCTGTTACTGGTATCTATTGGTTAGAGACAGAGATGCCACTAAATATCCCACAGTGCTCAGGTCAGCAACAGAATTTCTGTGCCCAGAAATATGGTTGTCCCACCTATAATGGTTATAGCACTGCTTTTGAGAAATCTTCTCCTCAGGTCTGGATATAGGATCAGGAAACATGGCTTCCTCGTGAACCCTGGGATTTGGGTTTATTTACTTTTTCTCTCTGTAAAATGGAAATAATAATACAAATCCGTCCGTCTCTAAAGTCCCCACTGGCAGATGACATTTGCATCTGAGGAGTAATGGTGAAAACCCTCCCGTCAAGGCGGGTTCCTCATTACGCGTTTCTAGCTCCGGAGACGCTTCCAGAAGAGGTGGTTCTGGCTATCTTGGAGGGGAAACCCTCCATTCTCAGCTGCCATTCTATACCTGCCTGGGGGTACCGGACAATTTTTACTCCAAGCCATGGGTGTAGGAGAGATCTCTAAGTCTCAGAATGCTCTTCTCTAAACCTCTCAGAACTAGTCAGGGTGGCTCCACAGGTGTGTGGAGCGCGCGCTCGCACCAGCTTCGGCACAGCGAATCGGCGCGTTTGGGCCCACTCCTTCCCGTCGCGGGCGGAGGAGCCGAGCTGAGCCGAATGGAGCCGAGCCGAGCCGAGCAGAGGGGCGGGGCCAAACAGAGTCAAGGGGCGGGGCCGAGTCGAGCCGAGGGGCGGGGCCAAGCGGAGCCGAGGGGCGGCGGAAGCGGGTGGCGGCCCCCGACCGGCGCCTCGCTCCTTCCTCTTCATCGCTTCTTCCTCTTCATCGCTCCTCCCAGTGCTCCGCCCGCAAATGCGGCAGGAGCTGCGCGGTTCCTGCGCCAGGTGAGAGCTCGAGGCTTCTTGGGCCGGGGCCCCGGGGCCCGATAGGCTAGACCCTGCGGGCCAGACTGGGGGAGTGGAGGGGCGCGGGGCCCCGCGCCTGTAGCGCTTGATCCGGGAGTTAGTCACCAGGGTGTCTGAAGCCTCCGTGTCGTTGGGACAGGACTGGGGACTTATCAGGTGGGAGGAGACTAGGTCCATCCCCCCCCTACACCACGTTCCCGCCTACACCTGTATCTGTTAAGGGGTTGTCGGCCCCACCCCGCACGCGAGACCCTGCCCCTTCCTGGGAAGCCTGGCTGGGAAGAAGTTGAGCCCTCCCTTGACATCTGGACCATCTGGACGTCTAAACTTCCTTCCCAGGGTCTATGAAAACGGGTGCCCTCCCCTTCACCGTTCCCTCCTCTCTTCCGAGGACCCCATCCCCGGTCGTTGCAGAGAAGGGAGTTGCAAGAACCAAAGGTGGGTTCTCCCCAAATCTCCCCGAGTTCCTGTTTCTGTGCCTCTGAACCCTCTTAGATACAGGGAGCTTCCAACACCTGCGCCACACCCTTTTCTCCTCTAGGTCCTCCCGGCCTTTAAGAATTGAAGCGCCCTGAACTTCCTTCCCCGCTCAGGAGATGCGACCCCCGCCCCCCAGCTGGAATGTTCAGGGTAGCCGTTAGTTTCCGGAGGCGCGGGGGTGGGAGAGCCCGGGGCTTAAGAGCCTCGAAAGGGGACGAGGTTATTGGCTAGTGGTGGCTTAGCCCAGCCCCCATGGTGCAGAAAAGGGCATCAAATCGGCCTTGTGGGCTAGTCGCCTACTCCCTCTGGAGAGACTGCTCAGTTTCAGCGGAGGCCCTTGTGAGGAGGAGTCACTGACTGGGAGTCTGGGAATTGATGTCAGGTAGATGTATTTGAGGACTGCGGCCCTTGGCATTCTCTCGCCCAAATCTGACTCCTCAGACCTGTCTGGGTGGCGCTTGGATTTCCCAGGCCAAAGGAAATCTGTAAGGGGACTTGAGCTTGTTTCTTCCAGCTTCAGAGATGACATTGAGGCAACCAAGAGCTGGGAACATCCCGACTTCAAGATCTGTGCTTGCTGAAGTTTTAAAGACAGAATATGGTGGTGGAGGAATCTGTCCTTCCCTGTCTAAAGAGAGATGATCTCTAGTTGGAGCGGTTAACATGGGCTTTAATGTGCATCTGGACCTTGTAGATATTAGTAGCTATGTATCCCTTCTGTAACTCACATGATTAGCTTGTGGGATACTCATTATGGCAAATAAATGTCAGGATCTCTCAGTTAATTTTGGCCACTATGACAAAATCCATTAGGTATTTGTACCATAGGTCAGGAGGTTAGTTCTAAGACAGAAAGGGAAGCGTATGATACCTATGTCCAGCCAGACAGTTGTTTTTCTGGGAAATATAAGACCCAAACAGGTTAAAAACATATTTAACAAATTTTCTTTAATAAGAGCTATGTGAGATTGAGACAGTCCTAGGAATTCCTGGCAGTTTGATCACAGAGTGTAATTGTGGCACTGTCTATCCCTGAGGCATGGCTCTTGTTACTTAGTGGGAAGAGACTCACCCATAAATAGTGATTTATGGCATAGTGTCATTGCAAGCCAAGCAAAGAAAGAAGAGAAATTAGCCAAGGCCACTGTTGTTTGAAAAAGGTGTTCAGGGATATGGGCAGGGTGAAGCAGTGAGATTTGAAATAATGTATTCAGCTGTCTTGCTTTTTGTGTATTCTTTTCAGCATTTATCAAGATAAAAAAAATAAGCTCTCAAAGAGTACTATTAACATTTTGTTAAATGTCTTACATTTTTTACTCTTCAGAATAAAATCTATATGTAACAAAATGTTAACAATAAAATCTATAACAAAATTTTATTACATAAAATCTATATGTAACAAAATGGGGTATTTTGTATTTTTTTAAAAAAACTATAGACATCTTTTCATGTCACCATGTAAATAGCCCCATTATTTTAATGACTGAGTTTATCATTATTTAACCATTTTCCTACTTACAAATAGTTAGCTTCTTCTTTTTTTTTTTTTTGGTGAACCATTCATTATATGCTATAAACAAATGTGATGCACATCTTTTTAGTATGTTTTGCTGTACCTGAGGATTTCCTTAAGAGTCCTAGAAAACAGGTTGCTGTATCGAGGTATATGAAATTTGAAATTTTGATAAACATCGTCAAGTCATCCTCTATCTACATGCCTGCCATCAACATGTAGAAACTCTTGTTGAACCAGCTGGATGAAGACCTCTAATGGTTTAAGAAATTTTTTGTTTCCCCAGTGACAGTGAGAGCCTGGGCAACATGAGAGATTGGACAGCTCACTATACTGGAGAATTTATTGTTAGGAGAATTAATCCCCAAAGAGACTGAAGTGAGTCCCAGGATGGCCAAAGAGGAGCCCACCAGTACCTTAAAGGACTTGCAGGAGCTGCAGAAGAAGCTGTCTTTGCTGCTGGAGTCCTTCCAGAATAACTCAAAGGTCAGTTTCCAATCACTATATATAATGGAAAAATTTCAAGTTAATGCTCATGTAAATAACATAGTAAGTTCTTTCTTTCTTAGTATAAGTAGCTAAGTCAGGGATCCTTCTAGTTCACCCCCCTGCCATGTCTAAGTGAACTTTCAAACTGGTTGTCCAATATGGCTTCAAGAGCATCAGCCTTCATATCCATATTCCAGACAATAGGATGGGAAGAGAGCGGGAAGAAAGATTTGCAAGCCATTTTCAATTTAAGAAGGCTTCCAAGAAGTCACACACGTTTCCAGTTATAGACCAGAATTTGGTTGGATGATCACCCCTCGTGGCAGGTGCAATTCTTTAACTAGATTCAGAGAGGCCACTCTCAAGCTGTGCCACGGATACCATCCTTTTCTGGTTTTATTGTTAATTTTGGCTTATGTGTTACCCTGAAAATGAGAGGTTCCAGTAAAAATCCAATTGGCTAGCCAATAGTATAATTTGAGCCACATATAGTGAAATTTTCTAATAGCCACATTTAATAAGTAAAAAGAAGTAGGTGAATTAATTTTAAGACTGTATTTTATTTAATCTGATATGTCCACAGTTGTATCATTTAAACCTGTAATCATTATAAAAATTACTATTGAAAAAAAAGTTCTGATATTTGACATTGTTTTTTGTACTCTTTGAAATTCAGTTTGTGTTTTAGACTTACAGGACATTGTAATTCAAATGAACTACTTTTAAAGTATTCTGTAGCCACTTGATGGCAAGGGGACTTGGGTATATTCTGTTTTCTTGCATATTTATTGCTTTCTTCTATATGCCTGTTAGCATTTTTTTTCATGGAAAACAATATACCTTTCATAAATTATGCTATTAACATTTTGTCATCAAGCAAAAACAAAAATCCACAAAGACAGCTGCTGTGACACAACCGTCAACATGTAAAAATTATATACTGAAGAGTCATACTTGATATCTTTCTAGACTGTGTTATGCACTATGACCATAAAAATACACATGCAGATGTAACAGTGTGAACTATTTTGTGATTTGTTTTTTTTCTGGGAGACAGCATGGTCCCACTGGTGTCTACTTGAGCTATTACAGAGGTCCTTTCTGGATTTACTCCAGAATGCATCTGCCACTTTGTAAATCTGCCAAGCTATTTTTAAATTGGTCAAGCGGCTTTCTAATCAGTTGGCTGAGAATCTTGTTATTAAAAGTTAGCTCAGTAAGACAGGTCCTCATGCCCCTTCCACATTCATAGCTGTTTCCATTCACTGGTGGTAGTTATGTTCTATAAAGTGACCACAAACATGGGATCAGCAAATGCTGAACCATTGCTCCTAGGAGAAATACACTTGTTCCTTCTCTCTCCTGGTCCTAACCTTTTCATCAGCTGACCAATACCTAACCTTGTTTTATGTGCATTTTTGTTTAAAGACACTATTTAATATGTGTCATTGATCCTTAACATTGATCTCAAGGCCAATAATACTGAACCTCATGGCTCAGACAAATACATGTGTGTTCTAACTCATGAATTTTTTTCTCCATAAGGCATATCTTTGTCCTTAGGAATACTAGGCAACCAACCCTATGGCACAACACTTGGGGCCATTTTAAATAGTGAAATGACCAACCAAAAGCACAAAAGTTTATGGCACTAAACATGATGCTATAGTTTGGCTCTTGAGTGTCCCCCAAAGGCTTATGTGATGTGTTAAAAACTTGGTTCCCAGGATGGCACTGTTGGGAGGTGGGGCCTAATGGGAGGTCATTGGGGGTGGGCCCTTTTAGAGGATTGTTGGACCCCAGCTCCTTCCGCATTCTCTTTTTCCGCTGGTTTTGCTCCATTGCACATTCCAGCTGTGACATGCTATCTGGCCACAGGCCCCAACAAGGCCAACAGGGTCAACCGATCATGGACTGGAACCTCCAAACTGTGCCAAAATAAACCTTTTCTAAGTCAGTTGTCTCTGGTTTTTGTTTTAATAGTGGAAAGCTGACTGACACACCTGATAAGGACACACTGAAAGAGCTGAAACCAGGCAGAGTTTCTCCTTGAGTTTTCCTTGATTTTTCTCCATTCAGCTGGGAATGTAGGTCAGGTGACTTAGCTCTTCATTGCTGTGCACACATCCACTAGTCCTCAAAAGCCAGAAGTATCGTTTGTGAGGTTACAAATACATGTTAATGAGGAGGCCAGTTCTCAGAGATGTGGAATTTACAAATAATAAGGATTGTCTATTCATCAACATTGATTGAGCACTTATTATATGCCACACGCTGTGTTGGACACTTGGCATGCCTTATATCTGCCTTCTGAGGTATGCATTTCAACAAAGAGGAACTCACTCGTTGCATTTCTTCCTCTCAGGTCCTCAGCTGTGTTCACCAGAATAGGTTTGGGCTAGATAACTACCAGGCCAGTCTACTACAGATCAAAGGAAAAAATTATTAGCCGTCTACATCCTGATGTTTTCAGATAGTCCTGTCATAGTGTATTTCTTTTAAATTTTAAAAATCATATTAATTATATTAGTATTAATTGCATTGTCAACTCAGGGAAGTGACTCGGAGGGAAAAGGAGAGCAAATCACCTATAGGCCCAGTGGTGGTGATTATTATTAATAATTATTATGACTCTTTAGTATGTAATTTTTATATGTTGATGGTTGTGTCATGGCAGGTGTCTTTCTGGATTTTTGTTTTTGCTTGATGAGTCTTGCAGCTTTTCCACATCAACGTGGGGATCTCCAGAACAGTTGTTCCCCAATAGTCTATCAGCAAGGACAACAGATTGACATACCATAATTGACATAACTGTCCCCTTGTCTGAGAAATTCAGATGATTTCTTTCCCCCAGATAATGTGTCCCCTTTCCTCATATGTTAATGAGCCTTTGGAACTGCAGGTAAGAATAACTGGGCATTAGTTGAAGTGGGTTCCATCTCTCTGGGAAACCTCTGGAATGCCTGGTTAGGTTTTTATTGTCTTTACTTTAAGGCTTTAGATACAGGAATCTGCTCAAGAGATGGGACCTTTCAGATCTTTGGGAAATGTAAGGCTACTTTAGAAACCAAGGCAGGGAATAAAGCAGGACTGAGCCTCTGAAGGAGTCAGGCAGGTTGCTGGGTGAGAGGTAACTGTTAACATGCCTCTCTTGGGCATTTTAGCTCCTCTGTGTAGCTTTTCATTTTAGCTTTTCCATGTGTGTCTGCTTCATTCTTTTCCTCTGCAGGCTGATTCCTTGGCCTTTTCTTTCATGTGGGCAAACATGGTTGTCAAGGTGGGCACCTTTGACTTCTCACCTCTCCTTCAGCACCCAAATGAAGCCCTCCCCTTAGGGACATGGGATTTTCAGTGCCTGATTCCTGGGAGCATGGAGGTAGCTATTGCGCTGGGGACTTTCATTCATTGCTCCTTCCTTGGAGGAGGCTGTTGTCAGGGAAAAGGAGAGGTGGCCCATGAGTTGGGCAGATAACCACGGTGGCATTTTCTAGTGTAGATTTTCTCTGCCCACATGGTTTTCTCTTCTCCTGCTGGGCCTTCCCTGACCCAAGGGGTGTTTCTGAACAAACATTCCTAGGCACCTGTGTGCCAACTCTGAATCCGATGCCATCGGCACCCAGGGACTATAATGTGGGAGTGGCTGTCACACAGCACCTTTGACTTGTGATTACCAGTGGTTTTAAATAGTCTTGGCTCCTCTCCCTCCTGCTTTCTGGCAGCAAGAGACAGTGAGTCACCGATTGTCTTTCCCATTCTAACCCCAGAGAATTTGCCTGGCTCCGAGTAGCCTCCGGTGGAGGGGCAGAGTCTTCATGCCTCAGATCCTGACCACCTGGCCCTGCTGTGGAACCTTCCAAGCCAGGGTTTATATTTACGAGTAAATCACCGTTGTCTGACCTTGGACAAGTCACTTCAGCTTATTTCCATCTCCTGTTTTCTGGAATAAGCAAGGCCAGGCCTACGGTCTTGTGGTGAGGATTATCCATGATGCCATTCGAGAGGCCTTCACAGGGAGCCTGAAACACAGTGGAACCATTTCCTCCCAGCCTGACAGTCCTGCATTGTTCAGTGAAGCACTGTACCTGTAAAGTGTAGGTGGGGACCATGTGTCTCCAGGATGGGGATGGGGAGTCGCAGAGCATGTTGATGTGTGACAAGCTGCCTTGCTTCCACTTCCACCCTCACATTGTGTGTCCCCCCACCCCCATTCTCACCCCTGGGCTTTAGATAATGTTAGGGTGCTCCTCATCACCTGCCTCATACCACTTTAGGGAGAAAGTAGGAAATAGGAAAGCAATCAAAATAGTGCCTGGCACCTGCGTGTCTAACAAATATCCTCCTTGTTAGGTGTGGCTGAACTGGCCTCCACTTTCTGACACGTGGGCCTGAGCAGGGCCATCCTTTGTGGCAGAAGACAGTAGCTGGGTTAAGCTGGTTGAGTCTGAAAATGGTGTCTGCATATCTGAATGACTTTCTGGTTTTTTGGTTGTAGATCCCAGACTTCCTTAAGAACTGGAAGCAGGATTGTCTTGCCTTTCTTGGTTCCCATGCAAACTCTCCCTAAGTCCTGCTGATTTTCCATCCCACTCCCAGGCTACATCTCCCTCCCCTTGGCCCCCACCATCGAGCCCAGATTTGGCCATTGGTGTATCTTGCCTGATGTCCTGCAGGTCACCCTAATTGCCTCTTCACACAAGCACCAGGTTTATCTTCCTTGAATTGCTCTTTCAGTTTTGTTACAGTTCTGCTCAGATGCCCTCAGTCTGCTTCATCCCACCCTCAAGGTAAAGTTTAAACATGTGGTGTCCACTGGAAACATTATGTGAGTCACATATATAATTTTAAGTATTTTAGTGGTCACTTTAACAAAAGTAATAATTGCAATAATATATTTTATGTAACCCTGTATACCCGGAACATTATAATTTCAGCATGTAATTAATATGGAAAGTCATTAATAAGGTAACCTATATTCCTTATTTTCATACCCTTAGAGCAAATTTCCACTGGAAATACGTGATATCTTCAATATTCATGAAATTTCCAGTTTAAAAAACTAGATCGGCCTGACCAACCTATTTGAAACATACTTAAAAATTTTATTAGTGCCTAAATCAATTATCAGTTTTAAAGTTTAAATTGTGCCTGCCATCTGAGTGTCCCAGCTTCATCTGCTCCTCTTGCTGTATAGGTGTCCCTTCCTGGCAGGGTCCCCTCGCTTCATGCACTGCTGCCCCTTACCTGAGCACTCATCCATTCTGCCTCGCCACGCTCCCTGGGCTCTTTTGAGTATAAGCATCAGGGAGAGAGTTCAGTCTGTCAGATGAGGCAGGGGTGTTTGCTAAGGACACACCTGGACTAGAACAGAAAGCAATCAAGACCTTAGATGGCTGGAGACCCCAGCCTGCTCCCCCAAAGCCCCTCCACCTCCCTCTCTCCTTCGGTGTTCTAACTTAGGATCTCACTGGGCTCTAGTAATGGGGTGTCTGAGTTGGGCAGCTCTGGCTCAGAGGTGATTCTTGGTATGGTCATCTCTGGATTGAGAATAGAGAAGCTTAATAGCAAGATCTTTAATGAGGAGGCTGCATGGCCAGTGGGCATTATGCCATTTTATAACCTGTCGGGAAGTGAAATTGGCATGCCTTGAGAGATTTCTCCTTAAGAGCCATTGCTGAAGCCACAAGACAGATGGCTGTGGCTTCATGGAATAGCCTTTTCTATTTTAGCAGAGTGAACCCAACACTTTGGTTGCCATCAGCATGAACTGTCATACCCTCCTATTTCCACCTCGCCCCCAAATTTTCACCATTTGTGGCACTTGTGTTTTGGGGATCACTGCATGTGAATTATGTTCTCATGGCTGCTCATAAGTCCTGCCACTGGGTGGGGGACCTCAAACTTGCCTCCTGTCTCACAGCTGCCTTAAATGGCTGCCCAAGGGACTGTCTTGGGAGAAGTCTTGAAGTGACATCTTACTCAAGAGCTCTCCAACTTTCCGAATGTTGGTTGTGCTTCCCACAGCTCGGGGGATCCATTCAACCTGAACTCAGACATGGCACTCAGTCCCCTTCTCTCTGTCCTTTGCCTGCAGGTGGTTGCCTTCATGAAGTCTCCAGTGGGTCAGTACTTGGACAGGCATCCCTTTCTGGCCCTCACTTTGCTGGTGTTCATTGCTGTGTCGGCTGTACCTGTTGGGTTCTTCCTGCTCCTGGTGGTGTTCACCTCCTTGGCTGCTCTCGTGGGGGTCATCTTGCTGGAAGGTATCTGCTCAGCTGTTGGAGAATCACTCTGTGGGGAGGGCAGTGTTTACTGAGCATCTGCCATTCTTGTCAAAGGTTCCCACTTTTAAAGTAAGGTGGCTTGTCAGGGTCATTAAGGCACGGGCCCTGGAGTCCACCAGTGTGATTTTGAACAGTTGTTCACCCTCTCTGAACCTCAAATTCAATAGATAACAAAAATAGGCAGAGAGGCCCAAGTGAGGTATGATTTGTGAACAGTGGGGATTGGAGGCAACCATGGGGCCAGCCAGTTGCCAAGCACCGGGGCCCACTCCATTTTAAATAATGCCAGGAATCTGGATTTGGGGAGGAAATATCACGTAGCAAAATCTGAGTTATCTGTCATTTTGTAAAATACATTGGCCCAGGGTCTGCCCATTTTCAACTTGTTTTATATGAATATTTCTCCTAACCATGTTCTCTACCTAGGACTAGTCATCTCTGTGGGTGGCCTTTCACTGCTTTGTGTCCTCTGTGGCTTGGGCTTTGTATCAGTTGCAATGTCAGGGACGATCATGGTTTCCTACATGGTGGTCTCCAGCCTCATCAGCTTCTGGTTTTCTCCCAGGTAAATAAATGTCAATGGAACAGTGTGATCAATGTCATCTTGTCCATTTTCATGGACAATGTACTAACCCCAGTTGATGTCTAGAAGCCCAGTTGTAAGAGGCAGGTGTTTCTCATTAGTTCTCAGTACACGTCAGACACCAAATGGGAATTTACAGTGGAGATTCCAACAAAAAATTTATTACCTTCATTCATCATATAGAGACCTCATTTCTTTGTCATGGCAGCTCCATGAGGTAGTTATTGATTCCTTTAAAAGGATGTTGATTTAGTTTACAAAATCAAAGCATTCTTTGGAGTGTGATGGGAGTAGGCAGGAAAACAACAGGAAAAAATGGCCCCCTCTACTCCATCTTCCAGAGGTATAGGAGCAGGAATCTGCTGTCCCCATAATCTGCCTTGATCCCTTCTGCTCTTTAGAGCATGAGTTTCTCAGTGTGCCAAGTACAAGTCTCGTGTGTGTATAGATTTTGTTCATACAATATGCCTCCCTGGCCTTGACCGGAGGAGCAGCAGTCTGTTAGATGATAGTGGGAAAAGAGCTGTGTTGAAGTTACGGAGACACTGTGCTTGTCAATAATGTGCTGCCCTTCTGAAGGATTTTCAGAGGTGACACTTTTGTCCTGTGGTTAGATTTTAACTCTGGGTCATTTGAAGATGGTGGCTAACATCTATTGAGCACTTTCCAGGCCTCATCTTGTGTAATCCTCACAATTTGCTCCATCATAAGGGAAATGAAACCAAGTCCCAAAGCTTTAGTACAGCAGAGAAGGGGCTTAAATAACCCAGTTCAATTAACTCTAAAGCTTTCTTACCCAAGACACTGAGTGGCTTCTGGAAATTTCTGTAGATAGTAAATATTTCAATTTTTGTAGGCCCTGCTCTATTCTCACAACTGTTAGAATCTGCTGCTGCTGCATAAAAGCATCTCAGACAATAAGTGAATGAGCGGGTGCAGTTGTGTTCCAATAAAACTTTATTTATACTAACAGCAGGCTGTATTTGGCCCACAGGCCGTGGTTTGCCATCCCTTGCTCTAAAAGAATCAATACTCACCTGAATTTTGTTCTCATATAGAAGAGCCCTTGAACTTCTTACCAAAAGGTTTTCCTATTGTCATCGATATGTGGAAGTGGGTATAATTTAACATCACTGGGTGGTACCATAGGACAGCTTAATTGATATCCCTGGAGTCACATTTAGCTTTTCTAAAATGCTTCAATCACTATTAGGCTTAAAGGAAATAAAAAGAGGCACAGTGACCTATTTGTTTTTTTGAGGGTGATGTTTCTGAGCCCAAACCCCTCCCTGCCTGTGCACCCTGTTCTTAAAAATCATCATAGGAAGTAGCAAAATTTGAATGGCTGTTTATCAATGAAGAGATTGAAAAGTATACCCAAGATCTGTCCCTGATCTCCTTATTCTCCCCTGCTCTTCCCTAGAGGCACTGGGGACCTGTGGTTTTCACTTGGGCAGAGATTCTTATACTTTTGATCACAGGGCCCCTTTTGCCTTCTTAAAAATTATTCAGGCATCCAAGGAGATTTTGTTTATGTGGGTTAATTGTATAGATAGTTACTCTATTAGAAATTACAACAGAAATTTTCAAGCTATTTACTTTAAAAGGAACAATATTACCTGTTGATATGAAAAACATGGTGTGGTTTAAAAAAAAAAAAGCAACTATATTTTCCAAAAGAAGAGGAAATTAGTGACATTGTTTCATGTTTTACAAATCTCTTGAGTATCTGCCCTAGTAGAAGTCAGCTGGGTTCTCATTTGTCATCTGCATGTGTCCCACTGTGGCATGTTGTTCTGATTGGCATAACTGAAGAGGACCCAGCCTCACAAATGTGTATGTAGTTGGGAAAGGGGCAGCTTTCCAGATGACTACAGCTGCTCTTCCGTGATGGCGTGTAGGTGATAATAATGTGATGTTGAACAAGCTGCTTAACTTCTCTGATCTAGGAAATGGCAAACAAATGGTAAAATAAAGCCATTGCTCGCCCTGCCTTTCTCTCTGGATTGTTGGCAGAGATGCCCACAACTGGGGAAAAGAATATCCAGATTAGAAGTAGGGTCTTGACCCTGCCCACCTCCCAGTTGTTTTGACCTCTCATGCCCTCAACTTCCTCATCCCTGAATGGATTTAGCCCCAAATCTTGTGTGGTGACAAGAGGCAGCTAAAATAAAGAGCAGAGAATGTCATCTGTTCTGGGGGTTCTCTTAGCATTGCTCTTTAGAGGACCCTGTACTGACCATTTGCATCCTGTCACCAAACAGGCTGCTGACACAGCAGAACCCCAGCGCCGACTGTCAGCTGGCTATGAAGGCCGCAGACTTCGAGGGGCTCTACCAGGAGTGACCAGCCAACTGGAACCAGGCTTTCCTCCCGCATCTCCAGAAAGCTGTTGGTCACACTCGCCCACTGGGATTATGGCCTAGGAGGACACTCAGGCACCCTGTGGCCGTGTCCCCTGGCCTTTCCACTCACTGTGTGTAAAATCCTGTTGTGGACAGCATGGCTTCTCCCTGCCCTACGCTCTCCACGTGTGCAGCTTGACCTTGGCAGGGATCTGGGCCTCCAGAGCCTAGGGCTTATGTCCAGGCCCCAGTTGGGGGTAATAGTGAATTGTTTTTTAGGGTGTTTATTTATTTTTTGAGGGTAGTTGTTTTTCACTCATTTGAAATGAGATAAGGAGGAAAAAATATCCAAAATAGAACCAGCTTTTCTGCCTTATTTGTTTTTTATAAGAACAACGACATTGGGAATAGGTTTCACTCAGAGTTGGAAGAATCCATACTTAACTTTGTGGCCAGGAGTCTTTTTGAAAAGGTCTAAAGGTGTGGTTTCCATTGTTACTGTTGAGTGCTGTTAAGTGCCATTGACCTTTTACATATTTGCACTTGGTACTTTTGTATTATTTTAAAGAACTCATCCTATTCAGCCATTTCTAAAAAAAAAAAAGTGAAAGGACTACAAAGTAAGAATAAAATATCCTGCATAGTTTTTACTTCAGTAGTTTATTTGCTGCGGGATCTTATTAAATATTTATTTGAGTGGGCTTTAAGAAAATCTGCCCCTTCGACTCTCAGATGCCAGAAGACTGCATTAGTCAGCTTTCTGTAAAGGTGACAGAGACCTGAGATATCAGTGTTATAAGAGAAAAATTGCTCAGAGTTTCATAGTTTCAGCCCATGGTCCCTTGGCCCTGTGATTTGAGCCTGTGGTCGTGCAGTACATCACGGCAGAGGATATGGCAGGGAAGGGCTGGGGCAGCTAGGAAACCAAAAGAAGAGGCTGAGGGCTGCGTGTCCTCTTCAAGGGATGTCCCCTCCTCCAGTGACCTAACTTTCACCAGGTGCCATGTCCTAAAGGTTCCACTGCCTCCCAATAATAGTACCACAAGTTGGTGACAAAGCCTTTAACACGTGGATCTTGGGGGACACTTACATAGCATCTACCTGTTCCCTCTGTTGATTTCATGGCAGATGCTGGCTAATATGGGTCTTTTAATTGGAGAGATGGAAAGAGGGATTAGTTTCATTCAACCAAAAAGCCAACGGGGAGATCTTCAGGCACTGCTGGGCCTACGGGCTAGGTGGTCTCACCCCTGCTTTTTACAGAATGAGCTGCGTTTTCAGGTAGACCTGTCAAACACGGAGGTCCCAGCTGCTCTAGTCAGCACTCTGAATCTGGCAAGAAAGCGTTTTCCCAGAGGATTGAACAGACTTGAATCATGTGAGCAACTTTGAACCAATCATGATGGTCAGGAGGATGGACTAAGCTGATGAGGCCGGGCTGGACAATCCTTTTAGGAGCCAGGGGAGGGGTGCAGAGAGATAGAAGAGGCTCCCAAAGCAATGCCAGAAGAAAAGGAAAGACTTGCTGGGCAGACAAAAACAAATGGTGCTACTTGCCATAGTGGGACACACAAATCTTAATGTGGTACTGAGACCTTTCTGCCTTCCATGACCTTGAACCACATTAGAGAATAAGATTCACCCATTTCTGCCAATACCATGGTGGTATTGATGTTGAGTTACTGATTTTTGAATGTTTCTTCCCTTCATGCAAGTGTCTGATATAATCTGTCTATGCTGTCCACACCGCTGGGTTCTGAGACTTCAGTAATGGTGAATGGAAAGGTCCCTGGCTTCCTTCCTGAAGTTGACTGTCCAGGGCACCAGGCACTTAACAATCATTAGTTAGTTATTGCTTCATAACAAGTTACCACCAATTGTTGGCTTAAAAAGACCTGCATGTGTCACCTCCCATTCTCTCCCTATTAGGAGTCCAGGCAGAACTCGGCTGGATCCTTTGCAAGACTGCAGTCACAGCCAGGGCTGGGTTCTCATTTGAGGCTTGACAGGGGAAGGATCCACATTGATCATTGGCATCATCTAGTTCCTTGCTGGCTACAGAACTGAGGCCTTGGGTCCCTTGCTGTGTGTCCTTGTCTACATAGCAGTTCATAGTGTGGCAGTTTGCATTTCCAAAGCCACCAAAGGAGAGTCTTTTTGCAATATGGATACTACTTTCTTAGGTAACATAACATATATAATCACTTACCTCCTGTCATGGATTCTGCACTTTGGTGGTTAAAGTCGCCATACTCAGAGGAGGGGATCACTCCAGGCATAGAAACCACAGATGGGGATCATGGACTGCACCTTAGTTCACCCACTACAAGTACACAAAATGTGAAACTGTGATAAATGCATAGAATAAAAGTAAAAAGGTGACAAATATATAAGAAAGCCCATTTGAGCCTCAGTGATCAGGGATTTCATCTCTTGGAACCAAAGAATGAGAAGTTGCCACCAGGTCAAGCACTGTGGGGAGGGTGTTCCTGGTAGAGGGAAGAGCAGCACAAAGTCCCAGAGGCTGCAAAGAGCTTAGTGGGTTTAAGGAAATGAAACAATGTCATGTGACTGGGTCTGTTGAGCCAAGGGTTAAGTGGAGGGGAGGCAGGAACTCATCTCGTAGAACCTCAACGGGAAAGACAGTAGAGGATCTTACATGAGAGAGTGATGTGGTCAGACTTAGGTTTTTTAAGAATCACTCCCCAAAGAATTGGGAGCAGGAAGGCCCATTAAGAGGTCCCCAGAGGGATTCTAGGGCGGAGATAATGGAGACCTTCATTCAGAGAGCCAGCAGCATTTGGTGTAGATCAACTGTAGGTAGAGAAAGAAAGGACACCTATCCATTTTTAGATTGAGCCAGTGGGTGGCCTGAGACACTATGTTTTGAGGTGGGGGCTGTGTGGAAATTCAAACCCTTCTTTGCTCATATTAGTCCTGTTATGCCTTTTTGACACCAAGAGGATATGTCAGGAGGATCATTGGCTTGGAGAGTGGTCTGGATGAGGTTATAAGGTTTGAGGGCATTTCAGTGCTGAGAGCTTTACACAACCTTTTTGTGAGTAGCAAAGAGAAGATTTGAAAACATGCTTCTGTCCATTAAACACCTTTGCTTCAAGACAGGCCGAGTGCAAGGTGCTTCGTGTCAGAACTCAAAAGTGCTGCTGCTTCTCGTGGATCAGACCAATTGCAATCTCCACCAGTTTGCTTCTTATTTTTTATATCAGCATCTGAATTTTAGAGGTGAAACCAAGATTCAGAGAATAAATGACTCACCCAATTCATCTAAGTCAAGGCAGTAGTTTGAGGTCATTTCAGCCTCTGTTTGTTACGCTGCCTGGGCCTAAAGCCTTTGCATATCAAACAGTGAAATTATGTACAAAACTCTGCACAGTGCTTGCTGCAGAATAATATCAAAATGCATGACTGCAGAATCATTTAAAACAGCAGAATGGGAATATGTAAAAGACCTACTAGAGGGTTCTTGGAGGCTCAAGGTTATTAAACAAGTATCATTGGAAAAGTAATTAACCCCCAGAGCATAAGAACAGTGACTTCATAAAACCATGGGGTTAATTTAACATTATGCTCATGTTTGTTTTATTTATTCTTGGGCATTTGTCATGTGCTGGGTGCTATCTTCAGCCCTGTGTGCACATCAATACCTGTTTCCAAACATCCACACTATTGCACATTTTAAAGAGGAGGAAGGTGAAAGATTGAGAGGTTCAACTGCCTAAGGTCAGATAGATTAAGAAGTGGAATCCAAAGCGTTTGCCTGTCTGTAAAACCCACCCTTGTAGCCAGTGTGCTCTGAAGTGTTAACACTTGAGATGAAATACAAATGGTTAGCTCCCTCTAGTGTTGTTCTCATAAGAATATCGTCTTAACCACTGTTCCCTTTGGACTTTTATTGCCTACCACGCAGAGAACAGGAGTTCCTGTTTGGGTGTGGTGCTTCAAGACCTACCTCAAAAACCTTAAGGAAAAAAAAAAAAGAAATCAACAACAATGGGTTTCCTCTTTTATTGCTGAGTAATATTCCACTGTGTATATATGCCATATTTTTTTTTATCCATTCATCTATTGAAGGGCACCTAGGTTGATTCCACAGTTTGGCTTATTGTGAATTGTTCTGCTATAAACATTGATGTGGGAAAACTGGGAATGGAACCACCATTTGACCCAGCTATCCCTCTTCTTGGAGTCTATACCCAAAGGACTTAAAAAAAGATCCCATTTTTAGTAATGATGAGCAATGCTTCTGAGACCAACATTACAAACATGGTAAAAATATTTCAAAATTGATCCCATAATATCCAACAACTGAGCCAATGCCAAATTTTGAGATATTAGTCACAAATTGAATTTGTGTCATCACCGTTTTAAAATTCTGCTTGTGAATAAAATATATAATTTGTTTAGGAAACCCATTTTTTTTAACTAAAGTGTTTCCTCTCTATGCCAGTGGAGGGCGCTCACATCCAGGCTATCTGAAGCTGGCTCAGCAGAGACATCACCGCTCAGACCAGGAATAACTATAGACTCCTGTTCTTAAATTTTAATGTGCGTACATCCAGGGAGGTTGTGAAAAGGCACATTGAGTTCAGATATGTGGAGCAGGACCCGAGTTTCTGCATTGCCTCCCGGCTCCCAAGTGAAGTCTTCCACCGACCACATCTGAGTAGCAAGGTAACAGATGTCCTCTCCAGCTCTCCCCATCTATGGGCCCTGAGAGGCCCAGAGAGGGAAAACTGCTTACCCACAGCACACAGGAAGTCTGCACTGTCAGGGCTAGAACCCCTGAACCTCTAAATTCAGGCAAGAGGTTTTTCAAATGAGAAGCAAAGAGATGAGGCTGTCTCCTTTCAATCAAGCTTCTTTGTGCAGTTGGTCCTCAGTGTCTGGTTTCTGCAGCCATGAATTCAACCAGCTATGGATCAAAAGTATTTGAAAATAAAATTGTGTCTTAGAGTTGGAGATGTAGTGTTGCCTGGCATATGTGAGGCCCTGGGTTCAGTCCCCAATACTGACCAAAAAAAAAAAAGTACTATAGTAAAGACTCTTACCATAATTCCCTAAACAATACAGTATAACAACTATTTCCATAGCATTTACATTGTATTGGTGTTATAAGTAATCTAGAGATGATTCAAAGTGTATGGGAGATGTGTGTAGATTATATGCAAACACCATACCATTTCATAGTAGGAACCTGAGCACTTGTGGATTTTGGAAACCGCAGGGGGTCCCGGATCAAGTGCGCTGTGGATATCAAGAGACGACTATTATATTTTTCATCAAATCACTTGCCTTGCAGACAGATGTGCCAGTGGAAATTGAAAGGTGAATACAAGACCCTGGTCCTTGTGGGCCTTGAAAGCCAAAGCAAAATAAATTCATCAGCAAAAGTTACTCTTACTTTTGGTTTATACAAAATTTTTTATTAATCTAAAGAAAAACATAATTTGGTATGTGGAGGGCACTCACATCCAAGCTAAACACTTTAGGAAACCCATTTTTGTTGGATTTTTTTCTTAAGGTTTTTGAGGTAGATCTTGAAGCTCCACACCCAAATTATAGATGCAAATTATAGACATAGACTCTCTTCTGAAAACAAAATTTTTAATTCTGAATGAGTTTGCACGTT